CCCCCCCCCCCAAAAAAAAAAACCACAAGGCTTATAAATATTGGGCTCTCTCAGAGTATAAAAGTATAAATTTACAAGGCCAGGATCGAGTTTATACTAGGTAACTACACGACATTGATAAAAAGTGGATAACGAAATAGATGGTGGATAAATAAATATCTGTAAATAATGTCCAGACTGTATGGGCGTGCGATACCTAGCTCATATTATTTTCTAGCTCTAATAGCTTGGTAAAACAAATTTTACAGGTTTCTGTGATAATTACCCAAGAGGTGTTGGCAGTAGTTTCCATAGTAACGCAGTTTGCACTGGCACATATATGAAGCGGAAGGTCTTTCAAGGGCCTGATAACAAGTCCCGCCGTTTTGACAATTCGCATTAAGGCAAGGATTCTAGGAAGATAGAGTATTAGTTTCATCAGTGATCAAACACTGAAAAAATGGTCATTATATATGTAATATATTTATCAAAATACAGTATAGGGATAAAGTTAACGAGCATAAACTAAAAATGGCATGTTCCTTCTTCGAAAAATTGCGGACCGGGACAGTGCCAGTTGCCAAGCATTGCTTTCATCCTCTTTAACTAAATATTACCAAATCTCTGAAATTTATCTTGGAATATTTTGTGGCGAGAGATATTTTTTCCTTCTATATGATTTTATAGGTAAAGATCATTTAAGCGTTGAGTAATGCTCAGCATTCGTAGTTCTCTGAAGCTAACCAAGTCAGCCAAGGCGGATCCAAGATGGCGGCCATCCAAAATCATGACGTCACAACCTCACCTAACCTTAATAACCCCGTCTTCCGCCCTTTCAATAAGCGCTTATCCATAATCTGAAAACTGGTAAACCTCAGATACATACAGGCTGACCAGAAATGTCATCCTTACCATTCCAAAATCGAAATATGCAAAGCCAGCTCGATGCACCAAGTCATTTGGCATAGTTAGTGCTGTCTCGTTGTTCAGTTCACAGATGTGGAGTTTACCCGCTTCATTTTGATAATTGAAAGATCGGCAGGGCTGGTGCCGCAAACACCACAAGGAGCACTCTATTTGCGATCGAACATTTCTTGTATGGATCGTAAAATTATGTAAGGCTTTATCTAGTGGATATAGAAGAGCGAAACCACACATTATTGATTTTGTAACTTTATAGAAAACGTGTTCAAGGAAAACAAGATCCATTGAAGGTACCTTAGCTTACCTTAAATTGGCTTTCAGACCCCTTTTTCAATAATGTCCTCGCTGACCTCGAATTCATAAATATTAATGCTACTTGAGTAATATTCTTCAGTCCTTTTGAACTTTAGTTAGTCTCACCTCGAGATCTAATTATTTTCGTGTGAGATTTTTCATCATTTTGTGTTTCAATGGGCCTTTTGCACGATGGCATCATTTGACTACTTTTATCAGAATCATTTACGGTTTTGCATTTTTGTGCAAAATGTTTAACGAAATATTGCTTTTGTTATTGTAAACATCATTGGGATCACCAGGTTTAAGTATGAAAGAAAAAACGAAAGGAATTCTGGTCCTCGTAGTAAATTATAGACGTCATCGTGCAAAAGGCCTATTTCATTAAACTAAGATTTTTCAATCGATAGTTTTCAGTCCAATTAAATACATTTGCCAATGTTTTGGTATCAGACGAGTCTTTTGGAATCACGAATGAACTAGACAAGCTCATAAATGCATAAATCTTGCTTATTTTCGTCATTATAACTTCTATATTATGAAAACATTGAAAATTCTCCCCTTGTAAAAAAAAAAAAAATCCGGATTCCGAAATCCGGGGAATGTTTGCTTGTGGAATCCGAAATCCTGGGCTTTGGAATCCGGAATACAGCTCAAAGAATCCAGAATCCCATTAGTACGGTGGCCCAAAGTGTCACAGCAATTTCAATTTGTTGACGGTAATTTCAATTTTACTCATGGCAATTTTAATTTAATTGTTCTCGGCAATTTCAATTTTACTCACGGCAATTTCAATTTACTCACAGCAATTTCAATTTACTCACAGCAATTTCAATTTTACGCACGGCAAATTCAATTTACTTACGAAAACACTGAAATTACCGTGAGTAAAATTGAAATTAGCCCTTTGTAGGTTTCCATCCACGTGGTACAAAACTGGCATATTGGGACGCAAAAGTCGCATTGGGGCAAGACCAACAAAAGGCATGTATAATTTTAAATGGTAATTTAATTTGTTTATCTTGTCTCAGTGCGACGTTTGCGTCCAAATATGCCGGTTTTGTACCACGTGAATGGAAACCTGCAAAGGGCCTATTGCCCTGAACAAACTGAAATTGCCGTGACACTTTTGGGCCACCATACTAATAAGATTCTGGACATTAGCGATTGGCATGGAATCCAGAATCCAAGTTCTACTGACAAAGGTTGGAATCCAGTACCTGGGATCCAGAATCTGTGGCGTGGAATCCGGAATCCAAGAAGTTAATGTTAATCAAGTGGTCCAGTCTAAGGTTAAAATCGGTTCTAGCATTGAAAGAAATGACAGTCGAATTTGTCTTACTCTTTTCCTATGCAAGAAAGCCATCTATATGCAGCCCTTACATGTTGTTGGTTTGCTATTAAGTCATTTGTCTTTTATTTTTGTTATTTTTTATTCGCCCCTACCACAAAGAAAAAAAAAATGGTCGAGCGGGCGACGGAAGCGAAACTACTATCCCCAGTCGTGGAACACTGTGAAGAAGGTTTTATCATACCTATTATCCTTCGTTCAAAGATGATGCATGTACACTAGTCTGGTTGGTTTGTGATTATCTGGGCCTCCTGCATATAGTTGTTTGATTGTTAATGATCCTAAAATCAAGGTTCGAGTCGGTATTTAGATTCCTGATAGGCGACCATTTATCTTTTGGCTTAAAATACCTCTTGTGGAATTCTTTTCCTTAACCTCAAATGTGGTATAATAAGTTGGCTTTCAGACCCTTTGCCTTAGCATGGAGAAAATGAATAGTCGATCATTTAAGTATACATCTTGCCTCAATTCTATCGAGGCCCGTTTTGATGTCCCGTGCGAATGTTTTCATCAGCTGGCGAATCTGCTAATGGCTGAAATTTTAGCGTGGCGTCAAAGCATTCTCTATCTCTTTTTTTTTCACTTTTAATAATATTAAGAGTTACGATCTCTTTTCCACGTTCTTGTGATCTTCGAACAAGTTGTGTTCAGGTACGGCTCCAAAAAATCTTGTACATCATAAATTGCAATTCCAAGGCAAAAACACTCATTTACACGTATTTTGACTCCTTTTATTCCAGCACTTGACCAATCAGTCAACAACTTTAGAATTAAAGTTGCCGAAATGATGACCACCATGACAAGCTCTCTCATAAATTATTCCACTCGCTGACAAGATGAAGGTTCCCGAATGAAGGCCTCACCATTGAAAGATCCATTCTTAAAGTCCCTCCACCCAACCGTTTTACCGTTCTCCAGCCCGCATCGATGAGAAAGTAACTCTATGGTTTCACGTGGAAGCACATAATCCCAAACATTAACTCTGGAAATGTTTCCAACGAAAGCATCCCTGGCTTCAAAGCCGGCAGATACATGGGAATCTTTGTCGTTTCCGAGAACAACGTTTCCTTCCGGTATAATAAGAGTTCCTTTCGCCAAGTCCTCTCCTCTTTCCCTAAACTTGCCGTCTACAAATATCTCGTAGCTCCCATTAACATTTTCCCAGGTCACTGCTAAATGATGCCACAAAGCGTTCGGTGAGATCTGCAATTGGTGCGACCTGGAATCAAATGCAAAAATTCCACAAAAATGGCTAGACATACCTCATCATGAGGTTTTTTCTCCTAGAGTTAGTTGGGTGGTGTCGTTCGACTATGCCAAACGGTCGTTTTTTTTAGCCTGAGAAAACAGCCGACATTTCCGACGCTATCACTGGTTTCCCTGCGAAATGACGTCTGAGAAACGAGCGCGCGTGTCACTACCCAGATCTGGGTAGTGCTTCTGATTGGTCATGCCGCGTGGGAAATGTGCTTTAACCAATCAGAGGTACTACCTAGATCTGGGTATTGACGCGGAATCAGTATGAAATTTCTGCGCTTGTTTCTTAGATGTCATTTTGCTAGGAAACCAGTGGTGGCGTCACGTCTACGCCCCTTAATCTTTATGAACAACAGTGTTAGTTCTTTTACGTCCCACAAGAATCAGAAAAGAGAAAGAGCTGTGAGAGGGAGCCTACGGTTTTCGTTCCTATCCGAGAAGACTAGAACCTTTAAAAATTAGTAGATGTCAAAACAAAGGCACATTCTCCTCGGTTATTTTAAGACCCTGAGTTTTGGTCCAGCCGGGATTTTAACCCCCGACCTCCCGCTCGGCAGACCGACGCTTATCCAATTGAGCTAACCGGGCAGCGGTTGGTTTGTTATCATACTGTTTGGTTTGTCATAATACTGTTATTATTCCTAGCTGACTCTCATCTGTATTTATTATTCTGCAGCTCACCTTCCGTGTATGAACGAAACTCAGCTAGTCCAATTGCTTTTCTAGGAAATTTACATTTCTTTTGATAATGCGCAGAAAAGCATAATTATTTAAATTGGAAAAAAAGGAAAATATAACAACAAAAAGAAGCCTTCGTTTTCGTGCTTTGTCAAAGAAACACTAGAGAAAGTTCAATCATGAAAGCGAGGCGCTATTTAGCTATTTGTGGCTCGTTGACGAAGGCTAAGACTACGAGTAAACTGCGTTTCGATTTATCCGGACTAGAAAACTATTGTGTTTTGAAACGATTGTATTTTCTGGTAACAAGATTTAGCAGATTCTACACCAACCTTGCTTTTCGTTTGATCCATATAATGAATTTTGCGTCTCTTTCGTGAAAAAATATTTCATTCATTTTCCCCTGGGCAAAATAGTTGAAATACGTTTTGTCCCCGGGATCTGTGAAGCTGACAAATAGGCTAATTGTGAAAGCACTAAGCGCTGGCAAGGCTTCCTTTAGCAGAACATAGTCTTGGTTGGTCCTCCTTGGAAATTCTATATCAAACGTTGAAGAAGGATCTGGATAAGAACACACAAGGTGTTAGTTGGTTTACCTATTCTTAGCATTGGATAGTTCACGTTCATAGATATCACGTGTAACAGCCGTCAATTCGATGTCAATTCCACGTTTTATTCGATCCGATCAACTACGCTCAGCACACCGTTCGAATACAATACCGTACAAGAAATCCTTACAAACAAGCAAGTGTCTCTATCCGTAACCTTGAAAACTGCTGAAATATCCGTAATGCTTCCGTAATGTTCTATTCCTTCGATGTGAGTCTAGTTAAACGATCCGTATCCGAGAAATAAAGGCGAAAATAACAAGCGATAAAAGCACATGTATGCCGAGGTTTGACCTAGTGTCGAATGACAACACCTCGGCGCAGACTGGGCCTAGTGCACAGGACACCTAGCATTTACATCACGTGATCATCACTATCATCACCATCAATGTTAACGTTATCGTTATCGTTATTATTATTATTATTATTATTATTATTATTATTATTATTATTATTATTATTATTATTATTGTTATTACCATAACTATAACTATAACTATAACTATAACAATACTCTGAGATCTGATTGGCTATCAAATACCCTGATTTCAGCTCTAATAGGACAGTGTATTAGGACAGTACGCCTCATGCCTAAGTAATTGGGCAGTACGCGCTATCACTCGAGCGCGTAAATGGCTTTTTTTTTCATAGCTAGAAAAAAAATGTGTATTTCTTGTGCTTTGATTTAAAAAAGAGCCTAATATATCACAAATTTTGTTAAAGTTATTATTACCTGATAACAGAACTTCGTGTCGTCCAATTCGGTCATACTCCTGATTAAACAAATCCCGCTACGCGGTCTTCCGATTTTGTTAATCACGATTATGATTACAGACCGAATTGGACTCCACTCAGTCCTGTTACCATTACTTATTAACTTGCATCGTTTGTATGGAAATGCACCCACCAAAACCTCTACACTCCGCAGGAATGCTACCCTCTCTTTTATGAAATTGAAGAAGCCCACTGGAAAATGATGACCAAGAGAGTAAGTCACCGGAATAACGATGACACAAACGTGATTGTTCACTAATGAAACTCCAAGTTAACACACTGCTCCACATATTCACATCAGTAATATCTCCAAGGTACGATTCTTTCAAGACGTTATTCCCTGCAATTATTTCCTGTAGCTGACCCAGAACAAGCGTGCCAGAGCTTTTTATGCTGTGTCCCAAAAGTACACTTTGCTTTTGTCCAATCAGTAGGCCGTCGATATATAGTGATAGATTTCCAACATTGTTTTCCCACGTGAAGCACACGTGATGCCAGGTGTTATCCAACAGAGATATATAAGTGAAGTCACTAGTGAATTAAACATAAACCAGGTTCAATAGGAGGGGCCTTCAATAGGTTTCTCGGGACCCAGAATTTCCCTTATTTGAAGCTCGGGACTCTGGATTTGAAAGCAACATCGAGACGAGTTTCGGGATTGAACGTATGCGCGGGAAGTGGGATACCAAAAATAACCCTCGGGATTACGGGATTGCACGAAAGTTTGGGGCGGGATTACAGGATTGAAGAATCCTATTGGGACGCTGTGAAAATGTTTTAATTGCAGGGACAGGTTTTTTGGGGGGGGTGAAGTTACAGTAACCCTTTGACAACCTCTTTGGTCTTCGTTAGCTGTCGAAAGATGTATATTTTCCTTCCTGGGTCTATTTGTCTTCAAAGTCAGAATTTAAGTTAACAAAAGTAGATTTATGCACTAAGATGACGTCTATTTAAAGTCTGTTCCCATCATGCTACTCTGCTTGATAAATTCACTTAGGATAAGGAAAAATATAAAAAAATAACTAAATAAAGAAATACCTGCTATGATTTTTCATTCTAATTCTAACAGTTCTGTTAACGTGAAGTTGCACAACAAAAGGAGAATCGTTGTTGACGAATGATAGCAACGTGCCAATCCCAAGTTGAGTGGTCTTAAATCGCAGACAAACAGTCAAACAGTTGATCTCTGCGTTTCCCTTTACTAGAACAGAAGCGTGATCTCCTGAGCTGGAATTTGCAAAACGAAATCCTGCATAAGGGAAATACATGTAAAGCACAATTTTATCTTCTTGACCTGCACGGATTTCATTTCTTTATTTACTCAAACACAGTGGATAGCTATAGACGATGTTTACTTTAGTTTAGTTTATTTAATTCACCACAGAAAAAACAAAAGACAAGAATACGGAAAGTAAACAGAAGCAATGTTGTGAGGAAGCACCCTCCCCCCTCCAAAAAAAAACACAAGGCTTATAAATATTGGGCTCTCTCAGAGTATAAAAGTATAAATTTACAAAGCCAGGATCGAGTTTATACTAGGTAACTACACGACATTGATAAAAGGTGGATAACGAAATAGACGGTGGATAAATAAATATCTATAAATAATGTCCAGACTGTATGGGCATGCGATACCTAGCTCGTATTATTTTCTAGTTCTAATAGCTTGGGAAAACAAATTTTACAGGTTTCTGTGATAATTACCCACGAGGTGTTGGCAGTAGTTTCCATAGTAACGCAGTTTGCACTGGCACATATATGAAGCGGAATGTCTTTCAAGGGACTGATAACAAATCCCGCCGTTTTGACAATTCGCATTTAGGCAAGGATTCTAGGAAGATAGAGGATTAGTTTCATCAGTGATCAAACACTGATAAAATGGCCATTATATATGTAATATATTTATCAAAATACAGTATAGGGATAAAGTTAACGAGCATAAACTAAAAATGGCATGTTCTTTCTTCGAAAATTGCGGACCGGGACAGTGCCAGTTGCCAAGCATTGCTTTCATCCTCTTTAACTAAATATTACCATATCTCTGAAATTTATCTTGGAATATTTTGTGGCGAGAGATATTTTTTCCTTCTAGATGATTTTATAGGTAAAGATCATTTAAGCGTTGAGTAATTCCCAGCATTCGTAGTTCTCTGAAGCTAACCAATTCAGCCGAGGCGGATCCAAGATGGCGGCCATCCAAAATCATGACGTCACAACCTCACCTAACCTTAATAACCCCGTCTTCCGCCCTTTCAATAAGCGCTTATCCATAATCTGAAAATTGGTGAACCTCAGATACATACAGGCTGACCAGAAATGTCATCCTTACCATTCCAAAATCGAAATATGCAAAGCCAGTTCGATGCACCAAGTCATTTGGCATCGTTAGTGCTGTCTCGTTGTTCAGTTCACAGATGTGGAGTTTACCCGCTTCATTTTGATAATTGAAAGATCGGCAGGGCTGGTGCCGCAAACACCACAAGGAGCACTCTATTTGCGATCGAACATTTCTTGTATGGATCGTAAAATTATGTAAGGCTTTATCTAGTGGATATAGAAGAGCGAAACCACACATTATTGATTTTGTAACTTTAAAGAAAACGTGTCCAAGGAAAACAAGATCCATTGAAGGTACCTTAGCTTACCTTATATGGCTTTCAGACCCCTTTTTCAATAATGTCCTCGCTGACCTCGAATTCATAAATATTAATGCTCCTTGAGTAATATTCTTCAGTCCTTTTGAACTTTTGTTAGTCTCATCTCGAGATCTAATTATTTTCGTGTGAGATTTTTCATCATTTTGTGTTTCAATGGGCCTTTTGCACGATGGCATCATTTTACTACTTTTATCAGAATCATTCAGGGTTTTGCATTTTTGTGCAAAATGTTTAACGAAATATTGCTTTTGTTATTATAAACATCATTGGGATCACCAGGTTTAAGTATGAAAGAAAAAAACGAAATGAATTCTGGTCCTCGTAGTAAATTATAGACGTCATCGTGCAAAAGGCCTATTTCATTAAACTAAGATTTTTCAATCGATATTTTTCAATCCAATTAAATACATTTGCCAATGTTTTGGTATCAGACGAGTCTTTTGGAATCGCGAATGAACTAGACAAGCTCATAAATGCATAAATCTTGCTTATTTTCTTCATTATAACTTCTATATTCTGAAAACATTGAAACTTCTCCCCTTGTAAAAAAAAGGCAATCCGGATTCCGAAATACGGGGAATGTTTGCTTGTGGAATCCGAAATCCTGGGCTTTGGAATCCGGAATACAGCTCAAAGAATCCAGAATCCCATTAGTACGGTGGCCCAAAGTGTCACAGCAATTCCATTTGTTGACGGTAATTTCAATTTTACTCATGGCAATTTCAATTTAATTGTTCTCGGCAATTTCAATTTTACTCACGGCAATTTCAATTTACTCACAGCAATTTCAATTTACTCACAGCAATGTCAATTTACTCACAGCAATTTCAATTTTACGCACGGCAAATTCAATTTACTTACGAACAAACTGAAATTACCGTGAGTAAAATTGAAATTAGCCCTTTGCAGGTTTCCATCCACGTGGTACAAAACTGGCATATTGGGACGCAAAAGTCGCATTGGGGCAAGACCAACAACAGGCATGCATAATTTTAAATGGTAATTTAATTTGTTTATCTTGTCTTAGTGCGACGTTTGCGTCCGAATGTGCCGGTTTTGTACCACGTGAAAGGAAACCTGCAAAGGGCCTATTGCCCTGAACAAACTGAAATTGCCGTGAGTAAAACTGAAATTGCCGTGACACTTTTGGGCCACCATACTAATAAGATTCTGGACATTATTAGCGATTGGCATGGAATCCAGAATCCAAGTTCTACTGACAAAGGTTGGAATCCAGTACCTGGGATCCGGAATCTGTGACGTGGAATCCGGAATCCAAGAAGTTAATGTTAATCAAGTGGTCCAGTCTAAGGTTAAAATCGGTTCTAGCATTGAAAGAAATGACAGTCGAATTTGTCTTACTCTTTTCCTATGCAAGAAACCATCTATATGCAGCCCTTACATGTTGTTGGTTTGCTATTAAGTCATTTGTCTTTTATTTTTATTATTTTTTATTCGCCCCTACCACAAAGAAAAAAAAAATGGTCGAGCGGGCGACGGAAGCGAAACTACTATCCCCAGTCGTGGAACACTGTGAAGAAGGTTTTATCATACCTATTATCCTTCGTTCAAAGATCGTTATAAGCCGTGCAAATAATAATGGACATTATACTGTACAACGTATCTGAATACTTCCCCAGATCAAGTAGTTTATGTATATAAAACTTGCTGGCGAGGGAAATGCCGAATACTGCAAAGCAATATGACTGTTCTCTTAACTTGATAACCATAGAAGGCTGTCGGTAATTTTCATCATGAGCTCGAGGCGTCAGTCAGAGCTCAAAACTGCCAGCGCCCGCCGCTTATACATTGGAACGAATTAACTGGCGGTAGTCTGAAATTGACCTACTTAGCACTGAAAAAAATTTGTATTATGAAATTATTCAATAATTGATAGGATTATAAACGTTTAAATTTATTCTTACCACTACTAGCCTGAAACGGACATTTCGCCATACAAGCTACTTTTGAAAAGTAGTACCTCGTGTTACTTTGTCAGTTGTAATTTCTCTGTATTTGTAACAAATCAAATTAGGGATTCTTTATAACATCTTGTTCTTCGCTTGGCAGGTGTTGTCTCTGATGCTTTTAAGTCAATACTGTTTACAGCATGAATCTGTTACAAGGGAAATGAGAAAATATTCAGTATGTGATTTCCTCTGTGTGTGAATAAATATTGTGCATTTTTTGACAGGAGACCCGGGTGACAAATCAATATCTTGGGCCAAAAATTAGCTCACGGCTAAATTAGGTCCAGAGGTAATCAAAAGAAACTACTTTTTTCATTATAACTGATGGTAAGATTCATCGAAGTGTTTATCGAAGTTGAAAAGAAAGTGACGGATCGTAATTTGAAAGGATACCGGCTCTTTATTCACCGAATGTCTGCTATTACAAAAAAAACCCAAAACGAGGCTCGAAGGACAATTAACACAAGGATAAATTCAAAAAAAGTAAGGTCCATTTCTTTATCGTCACATGAAGCAAAAAAGCCCGCTCTGAATAGTGTTAGGTAAAATGGAACACATTTAATTCATTTAAAATAGCGGATCCAAGATCATGTATGGTTCCAAATCCTTTTTTTCGTAAAAAGTGATGTCGTGGTGGTGATTTTCAAATGGCTACGGTTACGAACTAATACCAAAACATTCTCAATTGGTATATTTGATTCACGTCGACCAGTTATCAATGCTGATTAAATCCGCTGAAAACCAAAGCCATTTTTATCATCTTAGCAGTTTTAGCAATCAAGCGTGTTCGGCGTGTCTTACCCAAATTGCACGCTAAGCATGGTATAATTCGCACACTTACCGTGACATATCGCACGCTACAAAAAAACAAAAGGTCTAGCGTGTTAAATTTACCAAAACAACAATTTAATATGCGCATATCCGTGATCTACGGCACGCTAAGCGTGTCGTNGACAAATCAATATCTTGGGCCAAAAATTAGCTCACGGCTAAATTAGGTCCAGAGGTAATCAAAAGAAACTACTTTTTTCATTATAACTGATGGTAAGATTCATCGAAGTGTTTATCGAAGTTGAAAAGAAAGTGACGGATCGTAATTTGAAAGGATACCGGCTCTTTATTCACCGAATGTCTGCTATTACAAAAAAAACCCAAAACGAGGCTCGAAGGACAATTAACACAAGGATAAATTCAAAAAAAGTAAGGTCCATTTCTTTATCGTCACATGAAGCAAAAAAGCCCGCTCTGAATAGTGTTAGGTAAAATGGAACACATTTAATTCATTTAAAATAGCGGATCCAAGATCATGTATGGTTCCAAATCCTTTTTTTCGTAAAAAGTGATGTCGTGGTGGTGATTTTCAAATGGCTACGGTTACGAACTAATACCAAAACATTCTCAATTGGTATATTTGATTCACGTCGACCAGTTATCAATGCTGATTAAATCCGCTGAAAACCAAAGCCATTTTTATCATCTTAGCAGTTTTAGCAATCAAGCGTGTTCGGCGTGTCTTACCCAAATTGCACGCTAAGCATGGTATAATTCGCACACTTACCGTGACATATCGCACGCTACAAAAAAACAAAAGGTCTAGCGTGTTAAATTTACCAAAACAACAATTTAATATGCGCATATCCGTGATCTACGGCACGCTAAGCGTGTCGTGCAAGCGTGTCGTGAGCGTGCTTTCACCTTTAGCATCAATTTCCTGTAGAGGGTCACATGTAGCTTCATTTCTACTGTAAAAGATTATTTATGTGTTTACCATCTTGATTTTATCAGACACCTTTACTATTTCAGTATTTTACGCTTTACCTCTACTTTGAGGGAACTCTGGATTCTGCCAATAAATATCATAATGACGTCATATTACGTCATTAATATCTTATCATATGCTTTGCCTAGAAGTTGGAAATGATGAGTAACTTATTCTGTATAATTTTGGTGACAGTGATATGAGCGGCTTTGAAGTTATAGAGGGAAGGCCTCCCAGCCTATCCCTCCTCCCTCCCCCACGTCGCAGGAAACTAAGAAAACGCTGTCTCAGTAAAATTGAGGGTGTGATCTTTTCAAAAGAAACCCAAGAGAAATCAGTGGATTGCTAAATATTTTGGGAGTGGAACTGCTGGGCCAATTTTTTACGTATGTAAATCATCAAATTAAGGAGAGATCTTTTTCACAGGGCACACAACAGCGCGCCTCATTTTTTGATCCGGTTCTCTGTATTTAGATGCCAAGAACGTAGCTACGTGATAGTTTCACAGCCTCGTTCCCAGTCGTCCTCGGCGATTTCGGATGTGACGTCACCTGTCAAGCTTGTCGGGAAAATTCGCCCAGCTATCGCGCTCGGTTCCAAGCCTCCTCTGTTCACTCGGATAGCGCGAACAGGCCTGGGTACGAGGCTGATAGTTTCATTTTTACAGGATAAATATCCCATTAAAAGGATTGAGTTCGACGTTTTAAAGCACAGGAAATGGATTTTTGAAAGGTGATACTATTATCTTTAAGATACTATTTACCTACTATTACCTATGTGGTAAAGAATGATATAGAACATTTGACATCACAGTTACACTAGAGCGTTACAAAAAGATCAGATTTCAAATACTACACAGTTAAACCTCCATTAAGCGGCCTATTTCCGTTACCTTGAGGGTGGTCGCTTAATGGTGAAGTTCAATCGCCTTCTCGTTGTTTCTTTAAACGGTTTGATTTTTTCAGGTGGGTCCTGGATTAGTTAATTCTCTAACAAAAACTTTAAAGGGCTCGTCATCAGAATCTGTGGAGACCACCCACCTTATTTCCCCCCCCCCCCAACCCATTGTTAACATTTAACTTTCACTGAGGGCAAAGCCTTGGCCGGAGGAGGGGGTACTCAACAAAGTTTTTATACGGAGGGCATCATGCTTTTTATACCATTTTTGACAGAAAAGGCCAAGCCCCTTTCGTATAACTTCAATGATAAATGGTACCCCTTTCTTATACCTAGCTTACACCTTTGTATCCCTTTTAATTCCGTAAATGCTCTGTCGTTCGAGCATAAAATTAAAGAAAAAAAAATAGAAAGCCAGAACGCTTTCTCGACTTTTTCACAGCCATAAAATACATCTGTTAGCCCTTTGGTGCCCTTTTACATACCTGAGGCCTGCAGAAGGGACTCCTTTCTGGAGGAGCCTCACGTATAGGCCATTATGGGGAGTACCCCCCTCCCCCCTCCCCCCCTCCTAAATCTTTATATAAGGTAAATAAGCAGTAATCTAACGCTGTTTTAAAAAATAATGATAATGGAGCGGTGGTGTATTGCTTTGTCTTAAATAAGCAATTTGTTTTAGTTATGGGATGGTACTGGGGTTAGGTTAAGGTTCCAACAATGTATTATTGTCGTTTATTACTTTGTACAAAAGCAGCTGTGAATGCAAATATATTTATATAAACGATTATTTCCCGGCTCTGGTTGCATACAAAGAGGATGCATAAAATGCAATCTGATAACGTTGCTATTAATACTATATTTAATTTTCATATTTTTCTTCTAGTTTTTTAAAAAGATACGAAAATCTCAACCTTCCTTAATTTTAACTGTTCGGTTTTAGTCTCTATAAGCTAACAGAAGCTTTATGAGCTATTTGATCGCTTTTAGTTCTGATTTAATTCAGAAAGAAGGAAAAAATCGTGACTTGAACCAATATCCTCTGTTATTTCTTAACTTTACATTAAACAATTATACTTTTCTCTTTAAATTTCTTTCCATGAGCGCCTTCATGGACAATGTAGCTTTGCATGCTTCTCGTACAGGTTAACTGAAATTTAAGACCTTTATATTTTAACAGTTACTGTATTCTTTTTCTTTTTCAATTTGTCCCAGTACGGGCGAGATAGCTGCGGGAATACAAATCCGGACACCGTACAATGGGATAAAATATTATAGCAGAAACCTCACCTCTTCAAACGAAGACCGTTACCGCTGTTATAGCAAAAGCTTTTTCTCATCCATACAGGATATAGAGCTTTTTAAGAATACTTGACGAGGGTAGAAAATGGCTTGTAATTAAACGTCAGTGTGCTAAAACTAGCTCTTTTAAAAGATGTGGAAAACGGCAGCTGGATCACGAGATATGCTAATTAAATGAAATTTTTCTTTGTTGTATTAGTCGACAGCTAACCCTCAGTGCCACCGGAAAATATAATCTTTCAGAAAACTAATCTTTTTTTTCTTGTTATCATTTAAAATTGAATTTCTTTTGTTTTCATCGCACTCGTGGCGATATCTAAACTCTTTAAGTTCCACTAATGGGCAAAATCAAATTCAAGAAATTTCCAGTTGAATTTTCCAGTTATCAGCACTAAAAACTGAAGGACGTATCATTCGAATCATCATAAAAGACAAATTAGCCGACAGACCCAAAAGATGGATTTGATTACAGTTGTAACGGTTGTTTTTTATAATTGGGGCTGTAAGTCCGAAAGCGGCTGCAATCAGAGTAGTACATTCACGCGTGCACGAATACCGCGAGTAAATACTAACCTTGCGTCACTCTGGGTGCAAACAAAAAAAATTACATTTTTCAAATTTCTTGTTTTCCAATTCATTAAATTGTCAGTCAAACGCTGTACATTGTAGAGCGGCAACTTTGTAAAAAATTAAAGCTGAATCAATAATAGTGACTGTGAAACGTCGTCTACGATTACTTAATTTGGTTTTGTTGTCTGTTTTTGTCCTTTTTAAAGTCATTGATAACAAAAGTGAAGATAGACTCGCGCTAAGAGGCATTGTTTTTTGAAGGTACATATTTTGCCATTTATGAAAGTTTTAAAATTTCTAATTTTGAGACAAAAATCTCTCGATAGCATTGCACTGTGATCAGCTCGAAGCGTCAGTTATTGTTCTAGTATTGTTTATTTCATTGAGGTGCGCAGTATCTTACTAATGTGGGAAATACAAAATAAGAATGGAAGACTCAATGGTATTGCTCTTCAGTCACGTGGTGATTTTTTTAATGGTGGCCCATAGCTTTCCCCCTGTATCAAGGAGGCTCCCAACAATTTTTGTGTCACCCTTGGGTTATATTTAGATATCAGGGAGTTTAAGGAAAGTTGAGACATCTTTGAGCAACGCATGTCAACCGGAGGCTAGTCTAACGCCGATGAGCAGTCCAGTTGACTTCTTATCAGTCGTCGCTCTGTTGCATAAGAATTAACATACAAGGCTTTCAATAGAATCGCTCTTAATAAAATGGTAATAAACTGACCCTAAAAGTGCTTAGGCTTACTGCTTAAGCCCCGTGCAAACGGACGCAACATTGTTGGCTAACAACTCCCAACATATGTTCCATGTTGCGTCCGTTTGCACACCTTGTTAGATGTTGTTGTACGTTGTTGAGTGTTGTTGGGAGTTGCTGCGCAAAGTTTGAAACCGGTCAAAAGTTTAGCCAGGTGCAAACGGACGCAACAACTCCCAACATTGTTGGGCCAAAAATGTTTGGTAGTTGTTGCATCCGTTTGCAAGTAGCTTTAATTATTTGAAACAAGTATTTGGGCGCGATCCATTCAACCAATTCCGACCGGTCCAACTAGAAAAAGTGATCCACCTCAAAAAGTGGACCAGTTTTGTCGAAACGTTTCCGGTCGGATCGAACCGATCCATCGAGTTTTGGACCGAATCGCGCCCCTCAATTTCTGAAGTTCGATCAAGTTCAGGGTCGCATTCCATGCTTGTCACGTGCATCATTTGTCATGGACATTAATAATCGCCAAAGTAGCTTTGACCTTGCGGCGTGGTTTTCACTTCCAACAGAAATTTCTTCAATGACACAAAATTAACTAGATGTAAACATGAGAACAATATGTTGACACGAGGTGGAATTAAAACAATAAAAGTCAAATATCTATCTCAGGCTTTGTCAGGTTTGTATCATTGTGAGCTGAAAGTAGAAGTAGAAGTATAAGTTGTGTCTGCCTACCTTACGATCTCCGTGGCCGGTTAAAGAACTTCATTTCTTCACTTTTGTGGTAAAGATTAAGATGCAGGTAATGTAATATTAGCTATTTGCTGAAAGAGCAAGGTTTCTTTTAGAGTGCAAAGCAATGTTTGCCACATGTGCTGTGCTTTTGCGTGTCGGCTTGAAAACAGAATAATTATCAAATAATTTTGAATTTGAAAGTCTCGCCCCCAAGGAACTAGCGCCTCCTGATTGGCTATCAACGTTGCACGTCGAAATGTAGGAAAAGCCGAATGCGGTGCAGATGATCACATAAAACGATTTTCTCTGTCGCCATAATTTATCTAGAGAAAGCAATGATGAAAAGTCAGCGGAAAATCTAAGCCCGAGGAGGACATATTATTCTGTTGCTTTTGTTGTTGTTGTTCGCAGAAAGTGGTCGTTAACCGTACAGGGAAATCTGTCATTTTGGTCTGTAAACGGACCAAAAAGAGAAAAAGACAAGAGAACTTCCTGGTTAAGGCATTTATTCATATTTACAAGATGGCGCATTTACAAAAGTTTACCCTTTTTAAAGCTTAAAAGCCCCAAAATCCACATACCAATTCTCCAAACTGATCTCTATACACTTCCTTAAAGAATGCGTTGAGAGAATTTGATAAAAGATCAAAGCATTTTCTCTGTAGTGATCATTTCAATAATTCACATAACCTTATCTTGACAATGTATGGATGTCGTTAGGAGAAAATAGATGTTGGTCACCATTGGGGCTTAAGGGGTTAAAAGGTTCGGGATACCGCGTTCTAAACTTCTTAGCTTTTTGAAAGGGGTACAGGGCTGGACACGGATCAACGCTTAACCCTAGGGGGGTTAACTTGGAAGGAAAGATATCACAAGTAAACTATGAACTTGGCTTTATTGGACCAGTATGTAACCCATCGCAGTAATGCGTCTTTCTCCATTATCGGGTCTGTTTGTAGCTACATTTCCACATGTGTTTGAGTCATCAGGAAATCCTCCCATACCGAATCCAATCCTAGAACTACAGGATGAACAGCCATCTCCGTCGTCACCAAGTATACCGATTCTTGCCTTGGAACGATCACCTCTTCTACACATAGCATTAAACCCCTCCATATTACAGTGGAACTCCAAAGACGCCTGAGAGCCAATCAGGCTCTTCCACGTATTACGGCCCTCCTGAGTGGGGCGGTAATTTCCGTCAGCGATCAGAGAGAAAAGCGAGTTGGAGTTCTTGTTGATAGTAAAGAATCTTACTTGATGACCCACTCTCATGCCGAGGCAGATCTTGGAGAAGGGAGTTTTCCAGTAGGATGGTAATTTGGTCTCTTCGTGGTCGAAACCAGTCTTGCCCCCGGCGAGGTTGTGGTCAATTCTGTTACTCCAAAATGGAGAATCGTAGTGAAAAGTTTTCTAAATTTAATTGAGGAGAGAAAAATCCATAAGTATTAAATACATTTGATACTATGACAAATGCTAATACTAATAGTTAATAATAATAATAATAATAATAATAGTTATTATTATTATTATTAATAGTATTATTATTTTAGTAATAGTAATAATAATAAAAAGTAGGTTGAGTGTGATCGTCCGGGTGAACGTAGTCCTGAATAGGACTTTTGTTGTAGTCACTGTCAGCAACAACAATCCTATTCAGAACTACGTTCACCCGGACGATGAAAATCAACCACCTTTTAAAATGACCCCTGGGTTCAAATCTTTCACAGTAATAATAATGATAATAATAATCAATCAATCAAATTCATTTAACCACGTAGCACTTAGGAGCTCACATGTGTAATTAAACAAGCACCAATGACTTAATAATACTACTACTACTAATTATAATAATCAATCAGTACCTTTATTTAACACTATAAATTAAAATAAGCAACTATTGTAGTATTTAAGATCGAATTAATAAAACTATATATATTTACAAGTGTATTATCATTGACTAGAGACCGAGTGTAAAAATTTTGAGATTGTTACATGTGTATAATATTATTGCTAAATTAAAAAAAGCTATTCACAAGTGCTTATGAGCTTAGTAAAAATAGTAATAGTTAATAATAATAATGATAATAATAACATTTATATCCAAATAAGCTTCAAAATTAAATACCTATAAAAATCTATCAAAGTTGCGAAAATTAACATTTTGCCATTTTTAACTTCTGATAGTGAAAGTGCGTGGGGTTTTGGGCACATATATTGTTGTGGCAGTCACTACTTGTCAACTATCATATATCTTTGAAAAACTAATCGTTAAATAAAAGAGCTACCGGTGAAAATGCCAAAAGAAACAATATTTTGATGGGTGGAGTTTCCTCCATCCCATGTAAGGCGCCCTTTGCGCACCTGATCGCTATGGTCATTATAATTACGATATTAGTAAGTATGCCCTTTCGTGGTTAATAACAAAAGAAGCAATAATAACCACCGTTTATTGTTGCCTCTTTTGTTACTTTCCTTCTCAGTGAGAATAGAGACCTTTAGATTCTAAGACGAGAACGACTACGAGTACGAGATTTTCTCAATAATAAGTAGTGCTCGCGCGTGAACCAGCGTTATTTTGGCGGGAAAACGTGGTAGCCGTCGTCACTCTACTACGAGTTTTAGCGAGAATGTCGAAGTGGCGGAAAGAAGTTATGAAATATTAGAAGTTTTAGCATTTTGCAATTGGGAGAGGGCTCAACCTCCTTCAATAACGATAACAGTGCTAACTTTTCTGGTGAAAAAAAGTACAATGAAGAATTTCGGGGTGTCTGTTTTTTGACAACACGCGAAAAAACTTTAAATCTAATCTCGTAGTCGTAGTCGTTCTCTTTCCCGAATCTAAAGGTCTCTAATAGATTTCAGCAGGTTTTCAACGTATTTTTACAAACCTTTGTACCGTCGATCTTCATGACTGGTGTCCAACCGCCGGCGCCACATCCAAAATCCCCCATGTGACAGTAGACATCAATTTCTTGCGAACCAAATCTCAGATTATAGACGCGGCTCTTTGAAGAACTATTAACGGAAAAGGAGAAGTGTTACCTATTTTTAAATTATTGTTATGTATTCACCAGGATATGTGTTTACATTTTTTACCTCTTTTTAACGTTAACTGTCCTATTACTGACAGTAAGCACGCTGTTTGTTCGTCAAAATCCTATTTTTGGACATAACTTTTTCAATTTTTTCATTCTTTTTTTGTATTATTAATTCACTTTCTCGACTAAAATAGCATATAGCGATATAGGTAATCTATGAAAATGTGGGCCCAATGCATGGAATAGTTTAAGAGAAATTTTATTTTAAAAACTTGAAATTTTACAAAGAATGCATGACTAATTCACGTTCTCGTCTTTGCCACCCAGGTGCATCGTATCGCAGTTTTTGATGGCCGCCATTTCCTTGGATATTTCATCCTTACAAAGACCAGAAAATTACACAAATTGCTCACTTTAAATGGTTCCTTCAACGTTTGAAATTACTGGGACAAAAGGAAGTGTTTACAAGAGAAAAAAAACTGTTTGGCTTGATACATAAACATGGTCACTGTTTCGTTACTATGGAACACTAAGTTTTTGGCCGCCGTGACGTCATAGGAAAAGTTCTCTACGAGTTAAACTTAGTCGTGTGTGTTGACAGTTTTAAACACGAACAATATACTGATTGCTGATTATGTAGAAACCTGTTAATAACTTAACCAGGATGGAATTTCGAAGAATTATTCTGGACTTACTTGTCTTTTTCGTATTGTTCCTTACATGAAGAAATGTGGGGAACTATTTGAGCAAGAAAATAATAGTGAACATCAAGACATAGAGGAATTGAGCACAAAAAAGAAAAAAAATAAACAAACAAAAGTAACTTAAAGATAATAACAATAATTACGATAATAATAATAACAACAGCAAATGACGAAAAATGAACTGATATGTTTATGGTTTATAGGTACTACAAGAAGCTTGTATATCTCCTTCTAACAACAAGCTTTGACATGTAGCAGACATGTAGTTTATGACCAATTTCTAATCCAATGATATTAAGAAAAAGGGAAAAAAATAGTTAACCTCTTTTCAATGACCCTATGTAATCAAGTGTAAACTGTCTGCCTACCTGATGCTATAGGATTGGGAACAGACACATTGAGTGTTAGTGCAATCAGATAATCCACTTTCCTTTCCAAAACACTAACGGCGTCTCGTAAACGAGAGTCAGGATTCAGATTGCAATGACAATTACAGTTGTTTACTGGCACGGAATCATCGCAGTGTTTTGGAGGCTTACCACCTACAGTCACGACGACGGTCAGATGAAGTAAAACAACTGTTAAACGCATTGTAAGAATTTCTGCTGTGGTTGAACCCTACAACAAACTTTCTTTGTCATAGTTTACGTTCGTGAGAGTGGCTGCCTTTTATATCCTTTAATCAATAATTATACCCCCGAGGAAATTGATAGCAACGCAACACGGCTAATAATAAAAACGACACTGATTGTATTGCAAATAACGTACGTAGAAAGTTAAGAATAAGAGAACAATGGGAAATAGGTTATTTGTAGAAGTATATTTTAGTATGTTCCAGTTGGTTAACATCGAAAAAACAGCGACCCAACTTGAGTACAACATGCTGTTTTTTTTTGTTTTTGTTTTTTTTTTATAGGTTAAGGGAGTGTTCCCTTGACAATCATTTCAAATCGAAAGAAAGAAAGAAATAGCTAAGACGTAAAAAAACACATTCATCTTTCTTCTATATCTGATGCATGTTCTAAATTTCATTCACTCCATCCAATATAGGATACATTTGTCTTTCCGGAAGGATGGTTTCGACTCAACGACTTGACGTCATGGTTCCAGCCCACTTCATAAAAATAGTTTTAGCACAAAAGTCACCGACAAATATTAGCCACATGTATGCTTTATGGAAGAAAAAGACACAAGGTGAACTTCAGAAAGGTTTCAGCAAGAAAAGAAGTGAAGTTAATCCTAGCTATAAAAAAGCGATGGCAGTAACTAAATTCGGAGTTGACAGAACTGTTCATTCTCGGCCAAATCCAAGGCGATTTGGCTTTAAAAGTTATGTGGCCATATTATGTGTAGTATTTTTGTTTTGCGGTTAAAATATTGTCAAATTATTTTTCAATATCTTTCTCTTGGACTCAGGAAATGCTTCTTTATAATCAGACGCTGTCGACGTGGCCCTATACTAAAAGTAGTGACAGTCGGTTAAATATAACAGTTGAGAAATTTATAGACATATTTCTGGCGAGTCGAGCTAAAATAAGACTGCGAAAGGCAAAAGAAGAATAAAGTCAGGAATTTGGCTTACACATTAATTATCTTTAACATTGGCAGTGATGTCTTGATGACGTCATTTATTATCAAAGAAGGAGCTGAAACTATCCACATTCTTGGATCTGCCATTTTGAATTTATTTAACGTACTTCATTTTGCTTACCGAAAGAAATCCAAGTAATCGTGGTTTCAAATTTGATCTATTTTTTCCCCACAATGATTTTGGAAACAGTAGTAAACATTGCACGGATCCTACTCTTCAAATCAGTGAAAGGGTGCATTGGTCGACAGTCTTTTGGACTTGGGTGTTTGCTTTGACATCTCAGCGAGCGCTGTGGTAACGGACGACGCTCCCCCCTTTGGTACATTTTAAACTGACAGGTGACTGCCCGTTATAAGCGCTCGATCGAGGCAAACTTATGGGAAAATAGGGGACTTTAAAAATTCTACCTCAAAGTAACCAAGGAAATAGCCTGCCTATTTGCAATTTTTTTCTGAGGCTAACTGCACTATGAGGACAAACGCTGATTTTCTTGATCACGTGTGTTAGCAAGAAAGAATCAAGTTGTGGCTCTGATTGCTCAGTTAGTCGTGACGTACGTCCACTGATGAGATCAATAATGTTGCAAGTTGTCAACAAGTAAGTTATACGTAGTCAGGGGAAGCGGAGCGAATTACTGCAACTAATACTGATTTGTAAGACAACAATTTACTTTGAATTCCAGTTTTGTGCATCTTATAATTCCTTTATAAGGAAAATGACGTCATATTTAAACAGTCAACCGTCAAGAAGGGCAATCGTAAGCCATAAAACGTCAGCGCAGACCTTCCTTTATGATATTTGATGAGATGATTATAGCCAGCTTGGTGCTACCTTTCTTAAAGACAAGCTTAAAGCAGTTCAAACTTTTTGCATATGCGTAGCATAATAGGACAAGAGAATGTGTTTATATTCTTATTTGTAAGCCAAAAAACCACGTTATTTGTGACGGAAGATTTTTCCACTTTGAAACGAATTTAAGGCTCAACGGGAACTCGGTGCTTGACTCACGATAAACTGGGGAAAACTAGACTCAAATGGCAACTCGCTTGCGGGGAAGAGCCGTCACTTCTCTCGAGGTCCGGGATCAGACCACTAACTGGTACAGCAGTAGATAAAACAGAACAAAACTTGGTTCCAACAGCGTTTATTCTTCGGCGGATCAACAGCAATAACTCGGGTAGGACACGGCGAAATAATCGACGATGTAATCGAAAAATCAGTAAAAACTAACTTACTTATATATGATTTTTACAACCATTGAAGACAAAAGAATACAATGGAAATATAAACAGAAATCACTTAGAGTTAAATGAAAACTAAATACAACTTCTATTTTTAACCTGAAATCTTTTGTTATTGTTGCTATTTTAGAAAGTAAAAGTACTGAGACAAAGACCTAGCCAGGTCAGCAAAACAGCGTTTATGTATAAAGTGTTACAATATGAATTAAATTGCAAGTTCAGCTATCGGCTGTTTAAACAGGAAAAGCGCAGACTAATTGAAAGTTTTCACCTTAAACAAAAACCGATCTAATTTTAAAATTACAAGACAGCAAAACCTTTCATATTCAAAATTCGTTTATCACCTCTCTTTAACTAACAACTTAATGAAATATACTTTTTCAAATAAATATAACTGAGTTGCAATTAGAACGAGGTACACCTGTATTAAAGGCGTTACTATGAATAGATGTCGTCTGGTAGTTAAATCACGAGAAATAGACTGAAGTCAAATAAACCATTATTAAGAAATTAAATATTCTTTCAAGAGTCAACATTGACGTAAAATGTATATAATTGAAAAGAGAACGAGCAATTAGTTTTGTTTGTTAAGGAACACTGTTGACTTTTCTATGATTATAACCTGGCGAACACAAAGCAAATGAAACAAAGGATAATAAAAATGGCACGAGCCTTTTTGCGGAGCTATAACCTCTTTATGCAAATTCAGTATGAATTACTAAAACATCGTCAAAGCGAATATTTGAAAGCTATATATGAAATTCGAGGCAAACAAAGAATTCATGGAAAATCTCTCCTTTCATATTTCTGTTCTACTGAACCAGGATATATCCAAAGGTTTTGATGCGCTTTCTACCATTATCTCCTTCCCGAGCTGCATTGCCACACGTGTTGATCTGATTTGGCCATGGTACCCCTTGCATACCAAACCCGATTCTGGAATCAACGGTGAGGCAATCGTTTTCGTTGTTTCCAAGGATACCGATTCTTACCCTGACCTTATCTCTTGTACCATTGCGCCGCCCGCAAGCAGCGTTAAAACCCTCTCTGTTACAGTTGAGCTGCAGGGAAGCCCGAGCACCAATCAGCGTCTTCCAGTAATTACGACCCAGAGGAGTTACGCGATATGTTCCATCAGCAATGAGGGAGTAGAGAGAACTGCCTTGTTTGTTGATGGTAATAAAGTTTGTCTGATTACCAATTCTCATACCCAGACAAATTTTCGAGAAATTTGTTTCCCAGTAAGACGGTAATTTGGTTTCCTGTGCGTCAAATCCGGTCTTACCACCAGCGAGATTGTATTCATTCTTGCTGGTCCAAAAATGAGAAGTGTATTCGAACGTTCTCTGAAAGACAAATTGAGACTGTTCAGAGAAGTTAATCATATTTCGGTATTAGGTAATCATAGCATTTCTTCTTTTCTTACTTCTTGTCTTCTTTGAAGTAAAACTGGCTGCGGAAATGTTTAAGATCGCAACAATGTTCAAAGAAATCTGAAGAGTTAGATACCCAGATTAGATTTACCAAAGGCACTTGATGTATAATTTTAAGAGAAAAAAATTGGATGTTCTTGGATAGTTTCAATTACTTTTAAAATAAGATTTACATATTCTTAACGTCTTTTACCGGCGAAGTTTGCTGTAAGAGTGACAAAACTCATCGAGAAGGCTAACTTCGAAACTTTCATTCTATACGTAAAACCTTTTATTAAATGTGGTTTGTCAAAAACGATATGAAACAAAGGAGATAAAAGGAATGTAAACAGGTGGAACGCACATATTTAGGTATATATTTCTGTGAAATATCATCGATTCTAGTTTTAACGTCATGTAAATTCATTACAACTTTTTTATGAGTTAATTATGATTATAATTGTTATAACATTACTTTAATTTGCAAGGATCCACTGAAGCTAAATCAAGCTCTATTTGCCTATGCCGTTACAAGAAACAGGAAAAAAAGAATCTTATTTACCCAGATTAGATCACTGCATCTTGGAAATAATTATCTTGATTCATTTAATCAATTAGTTGAACTTAAAAGAGCAGTATGTGGGTACCTTTGTGCCATCGGTCTTCATGGCCAGTGTCCAACCACCACCTCCGCATCCAAAGTCTCCCATGTGACAGTAAACAGGAACTGTAAGCGATCCAAACTTCAAAGTAAACACCTGGCTCTTGGATGAACTATCGGAGGTTAAATAAAAAGCCTAGTTGGTTACCAAAATCTGTAAAACAGTTCAGCAAAGATACAACATGTTTACCACCCTCGAACGAACGGTCAGCCGAGGGCAACTAACATTGATCATAACGCAAAAAGAGGAAGCATCCTGCTGGGTTTTAGATCTGATATAGTGTTTTGATAAGAATTTGTTCGTGTTCTACAACATCATCACTTTAACGAGGACAAATTTAAAGAAATATATCAAAGCGAGCAGTCAAAATTCGGGGATCGACGAAATGTCACCTTGTGACGTCATATATTAAGACTTATGGAGGAAAACAGTTTTATTGTGAGATATCATGTGACCTTGAAGTAGCCAATAAGAACGGGCATTGTTAAAAAAAGCATCTCATACATTTCTGTTGACATCTGTGGCCATTTGACAAATGATTTGTCAAACGGAAAATCGCATCACTTAAAAGCAGTTGTTGTTAATCGACGTTCTTTTGCTGGTAGATTTCGTCCTTTACTACTCATACTTAACAAACCGGAAGTAATTAATTTTGATCATCCATCATCAAAGTGTTGTCTACATATGCATACTACATAGGAGAAAATTATCTTTGCTCCTTCTGGTTTTATGGCACGCCTTTGACTGTAGAAAACAACTAATCGTCTTTAGATGAAAGAGCTTTTGAGGCATTATGCTTATTACCAAAACTTTAATGCCGAAGTTACCTTGAGTTTATTTCACGTGTTAAAAATTATTTTATCGTTGGCCACTAAAGCACATTCAGCTGTGTCAATGTACTTCAATCTACTACTTTTGCAATTTTGTCAGGTAATTATTATTATTATTTTATCGAAGACGGATTAATTTTGGTTATCATCGAAACTGTACGCAATAGTTCACATTAGGCTGAGAAAGAACTGCTCGCAGCCAGTTAATGATAATCTATCAATCTAGTTACATATATATTACAAAGACGATGAATGAAAATGATTAAATCATTTGGTTTGAAATCAAGGTTTTAAAGACATGCGCTTCAGCTTATTGCCCTTGCAGTTTTGATTAACTTTTCAGCTTGGATAATAAGCTATTCTCTGTTAGTATCGGCATAGCAAGATCGGACTCTTGTTTTAAATACTAAATATAAAATTAAAAGAATAGCAGGAAATTCGATGATACAATACATCGTGGGGCACGAAATCTTTACGGGAGTTTTGACCTATCGCAATAATTTGTCCGTGGTTTGGAAAACTATGCTTTCTGTTTTTTTGTTTGTGTTTTTGTTTTGAATTTGTTTGAGACTGTTTCTTCTTCCTGAGAATTGATTTTTGCGACATTCAGCCAAGTACTCATTTTTTTGGTAGTGTCAGCTTTACGCCTCACTGTATTGCCTTTCAGAGTACACTTGTGTGGTTAAGTGCTCCCATTGATGCCAGTATTTCTCTACGAGTCACTGAACTCCTTTTCTACAACCGACTGTGGATTCAACATTTGACGAGGAAATCTCATGGCGATATTTTCTTTCAGATCGAATATTTTTGTGGGGCGGATGGTAAAAAAAAGGCAAAAATCCCAAATTTTTTGCAACGAGGAAATTCATTAAGACCAATGTGAAGACTAGTTTTGTCAGTCAAGTTTTGCTACTAAAGAAATGAAATACGTTTAACTATTTTTCCTATAATGAGAACAACTTTTCAATGGATTTTTCACATAACACACTTTTTCATTGGCATTGATCTCATTGTGCGTTTCTTTTTCTCCTCATGTTCCCGCTAAAACGAGTAGCCAGTAACCGTGATATGTGGCGGAAAAATTCTTGATTTATATGTCCTGATAAAAACTGCTTTGAGAGACGAAAGCAAACATAAGCGAGAGTGTTTCGCTACAAAACGAAGAAAGTAAATCAAAACATGTAGTCAAGAATATAAGCTATCATGAACTGTTGGGCTAATATCATTAAATGCTCAGCATCAGCTCTTTCACACATATCTCATGAACTCATTATATTATTATCACAAACGTTTTGCTAGTTTCTTTTTTTTCCTTGGGATTCAATCAAAATCATGGGGCAATAGAGTCGAACCTCTCGTCTCGGACGCTGGAAAATGGAAAGCATCATTTTATAGCGGCCTTGATGAAACCCGCGTTAATGATAACCGTGAGGTCTATTCCCGAAAGATATTTTATCTCTAGTTAAGAACACAAGGTGTCTGTTTGAAACAGCACCAAATGTGTTCGTAAAACAAAATAGCCTTTAACTTAGTCCCACTGTGCAAGACCCGACTGAAATAGAATGTCTTCTCTTTCTTTAGTTTTTTCTCTTAGGATTAAGAAGTTGAATACAAAAGAAGGATCGACAAATTTTAATTACGTAAACTACATAGAACTATAATATAGGCCTTACTTGTCCCTTTCGTACTGTTCCTTGCATGAGGTCGAGACCAGAGCTGAAGCAGAATGAAATTAAAGATTGTCATCGTCAAAAGCATCTAACTTTGAGCAACTTACACTTAGCATCGGCTTTTTTGATTACCAGGTTTCTTTGCAGGCTGGGGATTAGAAGAGATATTGTTAACCAACATAATAAGGTTGTCCAGCTTCGCTTCCATGGATCTCATGGCATCGGTAAGGTGCACGGTATTCTGGTTAACAGTACACTGGCAGTTGCAATTATTAACCGGAGGCTTCTGACATTGTGGTGTTCGACTATTACTTGAGTTTAAAGGAAAAGATTTAACGCCATTTAAAGCAAACAGGCTGAGCAAAACAAGTGGAAAACGCATGTTAAGAGTGGAACCTGCGTGCGTTTGAAAAATAGAATATTTTACCGGAGACGACTTCCGTGTACTCGATGTTGACCGAAGCTAAATTACCCATCGGCCCTTTCGTCCGTTGCTTATAACTTTCAGCTGGGGAACCCTCCCTTGCCATTACAAATGCCAGTAGATGTTCAACAATGAAATCTTAATTCCGCTTCAGTTTTCAACGACAATAATCACAGAAGAGGACAAATTGCATACTGGATGAACTACACTTAGGACTAGAAACTGCAAAACTGGGAATAAGCTAATTAAAAACATTAACCATTTTGCTTTTATTATTGTCGTTTGAATCTAGTCTGTTACACTACTACGTGAGAAATTTCTGCAATTTGATTGGCTTAGAGCAGTGGTGTTTCAGCTTAATTTGAAATACCTACATGTGAAAATTACAAACCTTCTGTTGGTAGTAGTGTAAACAAATAATAGCATGATTTGTACGTGATATTCGGCATAAATACCACTTTTGATATTTCAAAATTGTCTCAAATTTCACTCGCCTAACGGTTCGTGAAATTACGTAAAACAATTTTGAAATATCACTCGTGGTATTTATGCAAAATATCACTACAAATCATGCTATTACCTATACTAGGGTATCTAAGAGATAGTAATGCTGCGGCACATTCTGTTGATACTGGTATCAGTTAGGCAGTGGGACTTAAAAGAATCGAAAATGACATTGAATGTCCTATTGACATGTTGGAAAGTACTAGAATAATTACTGTCAGTCTATAGAAAGAACTCGTGGTCACGTTGTTTAGAAAATGATCAAGTAGTTACAACTCTGGTTTTCCCACAGTAAATTGTAGGAAATAATAGAAATTCAGATTGTTTATCCATACATTTAATATATGGTGCACGATATTTTCTCTGGAAACACAATACTTTTCTTGCTGTTTGTTGCACTTTATTAAGTAACAGTTATTTAGCTATATATTTATAGAAAACAACGACACAAAAAACGGAAAAAAAAAAGAAAGAAGGAATAAAGAATTCGGTGGGACTCCAACCCTGCACCTTCGGCTCGACGTGACTACACCTAACCACTGCACCACAGAGGCTGATTACGTACTCCTCAGGAAAAGTCTTTTAATTTATTCCTTTTCCATGAAACTTCCGCCGGCAAGATGATCGCCAGCCGCATTAACCGAGCTATTAACAGTGAAAAAACAACGTAAACGCACATTCCATGGCAATGAATGAAAACAAAAACATAATTATGCTTTTCAAAACGCCGATACACGTCCTCGTCTGCAAAGTAGGACACAAAACATATGTTTTGTTATCTCGATTTCCGCTGTTATTTTGAAGCGAATGGTCAAAATCACATCCAATTTCGGCTCAAACAGTTTCTTAAGAATAGCACTGCATGACATTTTCTCGCTTTCACATCACCTTCTAGCAAGCTGGAATTTGTATATCCCCCCGTGTTGCGGAGTCTATGAGCAAATGCTCATCTTCTCGTCAGGTTTAACACCTGGACGAGTCAAAGGCTCTTTAATTGAAATCCAATCCCCAAGTTAACCGTCGTACTCATCTGAAAGACTCCTGCGTGTCTTAAAATTTGGTAAGACCTCTAACCGTGCTGTAGAAAATTTGCCAGAAAGAAAACTCTAAGTCAGAGCCGGCGAACGATGCACTCTCTCACCCACCGAACTTCCCCGTGTTTTTATTTGAGTTGTTCGTGGCGCAATGCACTCTGGTTAAATGCAATGCATTGTGGTAAAAAGTGATGAATTTGAGAATTCGTCGCCCCTTATATATTTCCTTTAATTCCTGATTATGTTGCTGCTCGCTCCCTTCGGTCGCTCCGCAGCAACTAATTGTTTGTAATGTAATTTGCAATGTGTCTGCGCCTTCCAGATCAACTGAATTGAAATGTGGAAGTATTGGTTTTTAAAGCCGAGGAGAAAACCGGATTACCCGAAGAAAAACTATTTAGAGATAGGGAGAGAACCAAGAACAAACTCAACCCACATATGGAGTCGACGCCAGGTTTCGAACGCTGGCCACATTGGAAGGAGGAGGGTGCTCTCACCACTGCTCTACCCTCGCTCCCCCAATTAGCGTTTTAAATGGTGATATCGCTCAGCTGTAACTATACAAGTATCATTGTGTAGACAAGACTCAAATCTCCGCGCCCTGTCAGAGGTTATTAAGCCCTAAAGATTGCCCAAATGGAGCAATTTAACACGGATGCTTTAAAGGGTTAAGATTAAAGCTTAACAATCTGATAAGAGCTTTATTTTCCATTTTCAAAAATCTCGTTCAGTTTAAACCGAGGGGCAATGTTATGTGGAGAATCCTTATTTTATTGAAAAAAAAAAAAAATTTCAATGAATCTAATTTAATTATATAAGTACAATTTTTTATTCATTCATAGTACTTCGCCGTTCCTGATTTGCTCCAATCCCCCGGCTAATTAGTCGTCATAACCAACTGGCGCTTACCATATTTACAAGATGCGAGCGATAATCCAATGATTCGATGCTTGTTTGCTTGACATCGAGGTTGTGCGATGTTATATTTGCTTGAAAACGAGGCCGCTTGGGCAACAGCGAACTTAAAGAATGGCGTTCACTGCTATCCGACGACAAAATAGCTCAATTTCTGACTAAAGTCAAAGGAAGAAATGCAAAAAATTGTAAAAAAAATATTGCTCGATGAGTGTTATCTACTTTTTGAGGAGTATCTAAAAGAAAAAAAAATTGGTTATATCCTGAAACCGAGCCGAGAAATAAGCCAAAGTTTTGGATTAAGTCCACAACTAGTATGATGTGAAGAATTATATGCTGATCTGGGAGAATATTATCCTCTCCTCAGTCGATCTGCATAATTCATCACATCATACTCAACCTCTTTCAGAAAAAAAATAACCGAAGTACAAAGTATAAAACGAACTTAATACGTATTCTTACCTGGAAGAATCACATTATTTATTTTATACTGTAAGCCGATCTTGCTAGCCCTCAGTCTCTTGGTTTGCGGTCTATAGAATGTGTAACGAAACTGTAACGCGATCAAAATAACCCATTTTTTAAGAGGTTTTCGACGGGTTTTGATGTTTTAACGACAAACACATCTCCTCTGGACCCTGTGATAGCTGTATTGTTTTAGTCTCTTCATAGAAACATTAAAAACTTTGATCCTGTTGCTAAGTGTTACAATTAATGAATGAGTCTGAGTTATGAAGAATTATGGGGATCGAGGAGGGTGTTACCCGTTGAGGCCGTAGGCCGAGGCAGATAACACCCTCCGAGACCTCTCTCCGAGAATTCTTCATATGCATGATACGAAAGCCGAATTCAATAATTGTTTTATTACTCATTCAAAATAATCCCTAGTTTAAAAACATAGCTAAAACATGCTTACCTCTATAGATGTTAAGTTCATCTTCGATAGTGTACGTTTAGGTTTGTTCAGCTCCCCAAATTTTATCCGAATAGCAGATGTCGCCCTCCGAGTTGTTATTCCGTCAAATGTTCTGTTTATGCTAATTAATTGTTTTACTTTCTAAAAATGACTTATTTTGCACTTTTTGCAGAGCACATGTCCATTCTCTTAACTATTTTAATGCTAATATAGCACAAGCTGCAGTATAGGATTACGGTGCCTCAAAGTCTTCGATATCCTGAGGAAATGCAGTCTTTTTAAGATAATTTATTATTAATGAGTCGCATATAACTTCACAGAAGTTCAGGTTTCACGAGTAATCATTGTTTTATTGCTACAGAACTGCCAGCCTTCCAATTCCAACAGTTCAGTCGTCAAAATTGCCTGATGAGTGTGGTCCTTGCACCATACGAAACAGTTCTGTAACAATAAAACGATGATTACTCGTGAAACCTGAACTTCTGTGAAGTTATATATATATATATATATATATATATATATATAAATAAACATAAAAATTGCCTTGAACGGGATTTGAACCCGCGTCCTCGACTTTCTAGTGCCGATGTGTTAACCACTACACCACCAAGACAACCACGCTAACGCGCAGTCGAATTGAAGGCTTTATGGCTCACGGGACTCCCTAAACAATTTTTTAGAGTTCACAGAGGCCACTGGAAGGTGCTAACACCTTTTTAATACTATACATAACACAAATGAACTGAAACCAGTGAAAGAAATAAATAAATGAACACAAGTGAAACTTTAAAAATTGCCTTGAACGGAAAGTCGAGGACGCGGGTTCAAATCCCGTTCAAGGCAATTTTTAGAGTTTCACTTGTGTTCATTTATTTCTTTCTTTCACTGGTTTCAGTTCATTTCAGCTAGTGAAGACCGTTATTGTATTAATAAGCAGCCGCTAGAGTTCAGCAGAATAAAATCTGGTGAGATAGTTATAAGAATGACTAATTTTGTTTGGGACAAATTGAATTGAAACGAGCCACCTCGACAGGTAAACGATGCGGTAGCAATGATAATTATGCTTTAACTACAATTTGGTTTAGTCAGTGCCACAGTAGCGGTAATAGCAACTTCCTGGTCTAACCAGTTGGTAGACATAATAGGAACCACAGTTCGTTACGTTGATGTGTTTAATACCATTATAACAGCATTGCCCACTGTAGCTGAAACAGAGTGGCTTAATGACTCGTCCATCAGCCACTCTAGGGTGTCCATTTGTCAACCAGCTCGTCGCGTGAGTACCACAACTGTTCTTTTGATCTATACATGAAGTAGGCATCCTAGTTCCCGCAGCTCCCTCAAAACGATACCAGCCTTCAGTAATGCTGTTGTCACAATACCCGTGGTAGGTAGTGTAAGTTATTTTCCTGTCTGCGGCAGTAAGGCTCTGGTAATTCTCACATTCTGGGAAAAAAAGTGAGACTGAAGTGAGGCCGTTGTCAAATATTTGATGGAATAGCCAAACCACCAGAGGAGTTGGGAAGGGGGCTATTTCTATTTCTATTTCTTTTTATTTATTTATTTTTTTTTTCACGTTAATCTCACCAAATTCCACAACATTATTCATAGCCTAGCCCAAGACGCCATTAATAATGCCCAGTTTGGAGCAATATCTGTTAAGGACTGTCCCTCTGGTACGCAATGACAAAAAAAATAAAGAAAGAATTGAATTCTTTATCAATCGTTAGAATATCAATCTCTACATAAACACAACGCGCAAAAAAAAGGTCGGATCTCGGATGGCTCGGATCTCCTTAGCCTATTCGAAAAGTCTCCCGATATTGGAAGAAAATGATGAACTTTCTAACATTTTTGGAATTGAACTGACTTCTAAGCACTCAAACGAACAGAAATGTATTCAAAGTAGACAGACTGCAAACTACAGTAGTTGCTAAAAAATACATCTACGTGCCCCAACTGTTCATCGGCAGGACGCCCAAAAACCGCGCAGCCCCACAACTGATTTCGGCTCCATTAAATCCTATACCAATTGCAGAACACTCCAGCTAGGAGGAGCCTCCCACCGCGTGAGCACAGTCGCGGACAACACACACAAGAGAGGAAAATAACGCAAAGCAAAACTAAGACGCCATTAAACGAACTAAATGCAAAGCCCGAATGGTAAAGAATTTTGTCCAAAAAAAAAAATGATATTGAAGCTGTAAATAAAGGCCAAAAGTCATCCTTAAACTTCGGGTAATATCCATTAGAAAAAGGTAAGATTTTCTCCTTTTTTTACCTTTTTTCATCCGCTAGTGGAAACATATTTAGTAAATAGCGCTAAATTATGCAACTAGTGGCTGCAACCGGACAATGACGTGAGGAAATCTCCTTTGCAGTTAAAATCAAAGCAGCACAAACGCACATAAATTTGATCATTACATTGTACGTACGCTTACCCTGGGTACCAGAGATTTTTTTCTCGCGTGCGACGGGGAGCTTCGTTTCGTCGGCCCCAAGCCGACACGTGTTCGGCCGAAGGCCGAGGACACGAGCGGGTCACTTTTTAAGACTTGACCGAAACCGGAAACGGCGCATGAAAAGCCTCTGGCACCCAGGGTAACGTACGCTAAGAGCACTAAGAAATACAGACTTGTACACAATGAATGAAGTAGAAAGGAGTTATAACAGCGATACCACTCGACGAATGCAATTTGCTAGTAGCATTTTGGAAATAGTCAGAATCTTCCTGGATAGCGTTTTGTCTCTCAAATAGATTTAATACTAAAAAAAATAAAAGATTGCTAATAAAATTAGGAAACAGGCGACACCTTATTTTAATAACAAGCTAAATGCCAACGTTTACAAGACATCTGCAAAATCCCCGTTGAAGCCGCCTGACCGGCACTTCAGAGGACATGAAACCAAAAGTTTATTGAAAGATTTTGCAAAGTATTCAACATTAACTAAACCTTAAAACATCAAATATAATCACTTTGAAAATCTGTGTGCACGATAAAAATTTTGAAAACAAATGTTATTTAAAGCGGATTTTAACCGTTTTTTATCATTTGGTTCCGAATGGCAAGCCATAAAGTCGTCTTCAACCTGACCCTACATAAATATCAAAGCGAAAAAGAAAAAAGGAACCGCACACTTACACAAGGCAAAGTAAAACCTGTCACCCAAGTATTGTCTTTTTATCAACAAGAACAACATCGTATATTGAATTTGATTATAACTTGCAGTAAAAGCAACAAATCTGAACCTACCTTCGGCTAGACGGCGCCATTCAATAGCGAAATCAATTGCGGCAAGGCGGAACCGGAGAACACGTATTCGACAAGGTCCTCTGCACCCTGAGCGAGAGGCCTACCGGTTCTTTTTTTTCCATTAAGTCAGTTATTAATTATTTTTTTATTCTTCTTGTTTATCAAATTTATTTTATTTTAGTTGTACGCTTACTCGTTGTGCGCTTGGATCCGGAAGATAATATTAGCATCAACATCGAAGCAAAATACGATGAGAAAATTGAAGAGCATAAAAGTCGACGTTTGTTCGATCAGCCAAAGTACGGTTGTGATCATCAGACATAAACTCCATTCTAAAGTGGTCAGTAACTCGCAGAGGTAAGCGATTGCCAACAGGGTTAGCCTCATTTAGGCACATTACATACACGTGTAGCTTCCCAATATAGCATTCTTTCGTTGTGAATGTTTGGTTATAGTTATGAATGTTTTTAATGAGCTGTTTGAAGAAAGACAGTATCACACTGATACAATTCAGCTAGGCGGCTGAACAAGCAAATGCAAAAGCTATGCGCCAGTGCTGAAAAAAATATCCCTGAATAAAAATGTGCTCATTATTGTCTTTTTCGTATATTGTCTTTGCAAGAAGAGACAGCAGCTGACGAGATTAAAACCGAGAATTGAAACTGGGTTGAGGATAACAAAGACCAAAGGACATTTGCTGAAGATGAAATATTAACAATTGTATTAGTACTTTTCTTTATAAATTACCTGTCGGTATCGGAACCGGTTGTGGAATAAAAGAAGTACGATTAATCAGCGCAATTAGATCCTCAACCTTTGCTTCTAAGGACTTGACTGCATCGCCGACTCGAGAAGTCTTATTGCACAGTTCACTAAGACTCTCAATCTTTGCCTCCAAAGTTTTCACGGTTTTGCTGATGCCAGAAGTCCTGTTGTCCAATCCATTAAGGTTTTCCATCTTTACTTTTACGGACTTTAAGATATCGGCGACGCCAAATGTCTTGTTGTTCAGTCCAGTAAAACCCTCCACCTTTGCATCCAAAGACATGACCGCATCGGCGATTCCAGAAGTCTTGTTCTTCAGTTCAAGCAGACTTTCAACCTTTGCTTCTAAGGTCTTTACAGCTTCACCGACGCAAGAAGTTTTGTTGTTAAGTCCAGTGCGACTCTCCATCTTTGCCTCTAAAGACTTAACTGCATCGCCGATTCCAAAGGATTTGTTGTTCTGTTTAATAAGACTCTCCACCTTTGATTCTAAGGACTTTACGGCATTGCCAAGGTCCGTGCACTGGCAAGTCAACCGAACGTTGCAATAGTGACAGGGGTCCTTATTAATTGAACTCACAGACGAATTTGTGGCGCCATAAACGAAAAACGGAACAAAGAACAGGAGAAAAAGTGACAAATACATCATAACAGTTGTGGATCACGGATTTGAAGAAGCATCTAAATTGCCTAGTTGTTTACTCTACTTGGGTACAATATCACTGGCTATTAAATCTTGCAGTACTATTTTGTCTATATTTATAGTGATTTCCAGAGCTGGAACTTTTTTTACGCAGAAGACATCTTTTTTACTTTTTTGAGTCTTGAAAATTTTCACCAAAAGGTCTCAGGCTCGGATTTCTAACTAGGATCTCGGCGTCTCGGCGAGTCTCGGATTTTACCATTCGCCACCCCTATTAATTCTCCACGAACAATACTTGTGTTGGCGCGAATCATTTGCAAAAAATACACTCTTAACACCGTCCCTGGTATGATCACCTCGCTATCATGTACAAGGCATTTTTCGTGCCTATGGCATTGGTTTTATTCATTGATATTGTCTCTGAATTCAAGCCGCTTTTAGTACGTAAGCCACTGATAGATTTTTTTTTTCTTTATATCTTGATATTAGTGTGTATATAAGCAATACCAAGTGAAAGTACCCATGCCACAGTACCCCTCCTTTACTTAGTTGCGATATATTTACGTCCTAGCAACAATATTGACGTTGGCAAGAATCATATTCAAAAAGAGATAAACACTTTTTGTACCCTCCGTTATTCGAACACCTTAGCTTGTGATCATGTACATTTTTGCTATAGCGTTCTAAACAACGTCGCTTTGTATATGGGGTACCATTTTTCAGTGGAACTAGGTATACGAAAGAGGAACCTTCAGTCTGTCAAAAATGGTAACTATATAAAAGCTTTGTAAAGGGTTTGAACGCGGATCGGAGCCGATCCTTCCCGTATAAAACTATTTGGGTTCTCCCCCGAGGTCAACTTAAAAGGGAAGATATTGTGAGTGAAATATGAACTTGGCTTCGTTGGACCTGTATGTGTCCCATCACGGTAATGCGTCTGTCCCCATTATTGGATCTGTTTATGCTACATTTCCACATGTGTTTGATTCATCAAGAAATCCCCTCATACCGAATACAGCTCTGGAACTTCAGGATGAGCAACTATCCCCGTCATCACCAAGAAATTCCCATTCTTGCTTTGGATCGGTCATTTCTCCTTCATATAGCGTTCTTGAACCCCTCCTTATTACAGTAAAGCACCGAAGACGCCTAAGCGAAATGAGTGGAATGAATTCAACATTTATGTGATAAGTGCGTGACTTTACGGGAAACACCGCTTCCCAGAGGAATCGAGTCATCAAATTGCTATTGTTTTCTCTAAGACGAGAAACCCTTTCAAATGTAACTGCACTGTTTATGAAAGTTACTAAAGCATGGAACGAGGCACAGGGAACGTGGAACGTAATCTTTGGCTTTGAAATCCGTAATCCCGCTAACAATGGAAATCCGGAATCCAGCACCACCATCCAGATTCCACAACGTATATTCTTAATCCAAGACTGCCTTGCATTTAACCTTACATGGGTCTTATATTTGTCGTGAGAGGAACAGAGGACAATGTATAGACAAAATAAATCATCATAACACAAACAAATCAAGCTATTTTTATTTCACCCTGATTGCGTTTAATTACATTCAATCGTTCATTTCACCATCTTACTTAGGTTACAGGCAAATTAAACTACGTTGACATTTGAATACTGATTGACAGTCCCAGTGTCCTTGGGTGGTCTATCACGGAGCCGTGAAACCTAAAAAATAGACAGACATTTCCTCAGAAGCAAGGCAGTAAGAAATTTAGAAATGTACATGAAAGATAAAGCTAAACCATGCAATTTAACATCAATGATTTTATTGGCCTGCGCCAAGGAAGAAACTAAACTCTGGTAAACTCTGTGTCACGGCAGTCCAGTTCATTTTCTTATACATTGCCAATTACTTGCCCTCAATCGCTATGGAACTTAAAGTACGTAGGCAAAGAAATTACACGTAAATGACAAAATCAGAGATTAGACACAAACAGACATGTCCCTTAAGCATTATTTTGAAGCTGCAAACAGCAGAGATAAACTTTGAAAAACTGTAAGGCTGAACAGTTTTCAAAACCCTAATTTCAATCCGTTTCAATCTTCTTCAGTTTTTCCCATCCTTGGCAGCTGTTGTATCTGTTGTTTTATTTTAACCTTCCTTTAATGTTTTAAGCGGTTATTTTTATGTTTCTTTTAATGAGATACATGTGAGTGGGATTATTATCGATAGAATTAATAACAAATTGGAAAGAAGAAATTTAATTAACGAGCATGCACTTAATCGTGAACCTGTCCCTTTTTAATCTGCGAAATGTCTCAAGCTTCGCAGCCATCTTGAAAGTTTTTTTCAGCCACAATGCATTGCAATCTTAGTGTGGACACCACCTGGGAGCCAATTTTAAAGATCACGTGATTACCTTTAGCCTTGCATGAGGCACAGCAATATTCCAGCATATGGGCGGGGTTTTTGCAGCACTCGTCAGTATTTGCCCAAGAAAGACAATTTTGGTCTTGGTTTGTGCAAGAGGTACTTGAAATGTTCTTCAAAGCTAGGAAGATAGGCAATGATACAACATCAGTATAGACTTACACTGTTTGGTGGCGGCTTGTGTGGCCCAGCGGTTAAAAACTCGGACTCCGGATCTGGAGGTCCGGGATTCAAGCCTCGACCGTCGCGTTGTTGCCTTAGACAAGCTAGGACATTCACTACACTTTGTCACCCTCTTCACCCAGGTGCAGGCACAAATGGTTACCGGTGACATGCTGCTGCAGGGGATCCCTGCGATGGACTAACTTACCATCCACGGGAGCAGTAATACTCCTAGGTCTGCTAAGGAAACCGGGAATAAGCTCCGTCCGTTTGGGCCTTTGGCTCGTGTACGCCTTTTTTCACCAAGATAAATGGTAGTGTTTTCCCGAGAGTTTCGATTTTTCCACAAACGAGAACACACACAGAAAAACAAACAAACAAACAACCTTGTTCGCGAGAAGCTCAGACCGCCTCTTGGACGACCCGTGAGAATCGTGCACTCGAGGGTTGCAACGCATAACGTTCTTGCAGTTTGTTTTGGGCGGGGAGGGAAGGAGAGGGGAAAGTCACATGACACCGGACATCAGCAAAGAACTGGCTGTATATGACTGCGCCGAACTTAGAAGTTTTATTATATATGGCTAGCTATAGCTATCGCTAAGTGCCAGTGAGCAAAGATTTTACCTATACGCGAGTGCTGTTGAATTTGTTTAGAAATGTCAAATTCCTTAATTGATGAAAAATAGATTGAACTTAATTCGATTGTATTGACGAAAATTACCTGAAAATGGTGCAAACTTATAGAAAGGGGAACGCATACACCAACCCACGACCTGGCCATTACCTCACGCACGCGCACAGCCATATCACGCGGGCAGTGGCAACCATGGGCACAGGGCGCAGAGGAGTTATTTGTGACGGCAAATGAAGCGAAAATTTCATTGCCGAATGAGCGAATCGCCTCTGTTTACTGTAGAATGTATTGTGAACTTAACCTTTCAAACAGTCGTGCGATCGTGTAAAGAATTTAAAATCCCGACTTTACATAGCAAATTTTTGGAGATATTGAAGTGTTTTTGTCCGAAGTTGCGCATATTAGGTCTTTTTGCGTAAAATTTAGTGGTCTTATAAGCAAACTTAAAGTCCTCGAAAACTGATATTTAAGTCCGCGAATATTCAAAGTACGGACTTATATTTGGTCTCCTTCTAAAAAAAAATTATGGTGCGCCAATGAAGCCTTCCGCATTATTTTGCTTCAAAGACAAAAAAATTTCGCAGCGTTTGTCGCGCCCGGCAATCGCCTTGGCAAGGATTAAGAAGTTATATTTCGTTTTCGAGTACGTACTTTTCATATGGTTGCACCACACACAGCAGGATGTCAGCATGTATCCGGGATTTTTAGTGCATTCACCAATGATCGCCCAGCGGCCACAATGAGGCGATTTGTCAACACATGTTGCAACTGAGAGAGAAGTACCACGAGAATTGGAGTTAGTTTACAGCTTCGATTCTCTAATACGTTTCTCCGAGCTTTTTAAACCCGAACTATAATCAAAACGGGAAAAAAATGAATACTGTTAAAATATACATGAAATATAAAGAATTACTTTAAAAATATATATAAATAAGCAAATAAATAAATAAACAAGACAATGGCTTCCACGTAAATGAAAAAAAAAAAGTAAAATAAAGGGTAGATTTATTTGCCGAGCATACGGGCATAGCCATCGTATCTGCCATTTGGAAGATTTGTTGTGTCCAGGCTTTAAACAGTCAAGAAAATTTCAAGAAATAAGTGAAAAACAATATCACTGAATGAAGCAAGTGAAAAACTATCCTTGAATAAGAAAAATGTGCCTCTAGTTGTATAGTTATTCGTATATTGATGTCTGCAAGAAGAGACTCTGTCACAGCAGCTGACGCGACTAAAACCGAGAATTGAAACTGAGTTGAGGATATTACAAAGATCAAAGGATATTTTACTGATCAGAAGATTCGATATAAAATGAGATTAATACTTTTCTTTTTAGATTACCTGACTGTGCCCGTTTCGGAGCCGGTTGTGGAGCTGAAGAAGTACGATAAATCAGAGCAATTAGATTCTGAACCTTTGCTTCTAAGGACTTGACCGCATCGTCGATTCGGGAAGTCTTATTGCGCAGTTCACTAAGACTCTCAATCTTTGATTCCAAAGTCTTGTTGATCAATACATTGTCCATTTTCACTTCTAAGTACTTTAAGGCATCGGCAACGCCAGATGTCTTGTTGATCAGTCCAGAAAAACCCTCCACCTTTGCATGCAAAGACTTGACCGCATCGCCGATTCCCAAAGTCTTGTTGTTCAGTCCAAGAAAACTCTCCATCTTTTCTTCTAAGGTCTTTACGGAATCACCGACGCCAGAAGTGTTGTTGCTAAGTCCAGTAAGACTCTCCACCTTTGCCTCTAAAGACTTAATCGCATTGCCGATTCCAAAGGACTTGTTGTTTTGTTTAAAAAAACTGTCCACCTTCGATTCTAAGGACTTTACGGCATTGCCAAGGTCCGTGTAGTGGCAATTCAAATCAATGTTGCAATAGTGACAGGGGTCCTTATTAACTGAACTCACAGACGAATTTGAGACGCCATTAACGAAAAACGAAACAAAGTTGAGGAGAAAAAATGACAAATACATCATAACAGTTGTGGATCATGAATTTGAAGAAGCATCTGAATTGCCGAATAGTTTACTTGTTCCCTTTATATCTTGATATCTAGGGTACAATATCATCAGTATTAAAACTTGCCGTACAATTTTGACAATTGAAAATTTAGTGATAGACGCAGAAGCCATCTATTAATTCTCCACGAACTATATTGGTGTTGCAACGAATCATTTGCGAAAAAGATTGAAAAACCACTCGACGCCATAAACGAAAAACGGAACAAAGAACAGCAGAAAAAATGACAAAAACATCATAACAGTTGTGGATCACGGATTTGCAGAAGCATCTAAATTGCCTAGTAGTTTGCTTTACTTGGGTACCATATCATTACCTATTAAATCTTGCAGTACTGTTTTGTCAATATTTATAGTGATTTCCAGAGCTGGAACTTTGTTTATACGCAGAAGCCATCTATTAATTCTCCATGGACAATATTTGTGTTGGCGCGAATCATTTGCAAAAAAATACACTCTTAACACCATCCCTGGTACGATTACCTCGTTATCATGTACAAGGAATTTTTCCCGCTTATGGCAGGAAAAAAACCCGTGGTACGTACACCCACTGATAGATAGTTGACTTTTGTTTTCTTTATACAGTGTACCTTAAAATATTTCGTGTACCTAATCAATACCCAGTGAAATTTTGTTAGCCAAAGTACACCTCCTTTTACTCAGACACTATCTATTTACGCTCCAGGAACGATATTGACGTTGGCAGGAATCATATTCAAAAAGATAAAAAGACTTATTAGATCTTTCGTAATAAGAACACCTTAATTTTTGATCATGGACAGTTTATTTCCTTTCAACGGGGAAAATCCCTTCTATTGATTCATCCCACTTCGAAAACTCATTAATAATCCATAACGAAAAAAAAAAACAAATTAATGTTTAAAGAGTGTCTTTATATCTGATAAAGACACGTCTAAACCTTACGTCCAATTTTTTGACCAAAATAACTCCAAATCTAAATATTAGTGCAAGAAATGAATTGATCTATATAAGAGATTTTGAAGCCGTTCAAAAAACTCGCAGTCGATTTAAAAACTCTTGGTTTCGCCTCGAGTTTTTAAACCTGCTAATACACTCCTGCTTATTTTTTTAAACAGTACTTAAAACACGATTGTTGTCTGATAATGAGTGCATTTGTTGCTTTTAAGCCACAAATGGCATGCCGTTCTTGATACTAAAACCTCCCTGCTACCACATTGATGACATGAGGTTTCTATGGCTATGCGCTTCTGATGACGTCATAAATGACAAGAGTCAAGCTATCTAAAGACAAGAAATCGAATTTGTTCAATCATCACTAATTTTTAGGTTGAGAATGAAAAAATGCTTAGTTTCTGGGCAATTCACCAAAAGCACGGCCTTACCTAAATTAAACTGGGAAAGCCTCCGTCCGCTGTCATTACAAAAAGACAGTAACTGTTTAATATATACAGTATGTTGCCAAGTATCCGGACGGTACCAGTATCCGGACACTTGAAACAAAAACTCCATTTTTGAGGCCCCCTTTTCAGTTCTCGGTAAACGAAGTGTTTGGAATGAAAGCTGAACATTTCAGCTTTAAGATGAAAGTTTTGGCGGGTTTAAAACTTACGAAACAGTCGTAGAAGGTGCCGTTCTGTTCAGGTGAGTAAACTTTTCAAGGCTAATATTTACGCTGTTTACTGCGCAGTAAAATTAGTGCTGCTCAGAGAAGGGTAGGTAATATGTGATATTTTCAAAGAAATTGTTTTATATTTAAAGTGGAGATACTTAAAGAAGTCAGGTTCTCAGAAAGTTTATTAATTCTTCTTGAAATTTGATTCCTAAGTTTTTAATCCTAGGTTTTTAAAAAAACTAGGATATGCTTTAATTTTCTTAAATTCAAAAACTCATTAATAATTTACAAAGAATAAAAAGCAATTAATGTTTACTGAGTGTCTGTATATGTGATAAAGACACGGCTAAACTTTACGTCCAATTTTTTTGGATCAAAATAAACCCCAATCTAAATATCAGTACAAGAATGAGTTGATCTATATCAGAGATTTTGAAGGCGTTGAAAAAACACGCAGTCGTATATTATCAGGTTTAAAAGTTAATTTCGAGGCGAAGCCGCCGATAGTTTAACACCACATAAGAAATTTAATGAAATATTGTTCTAAGAGTTTTTACTTTTGAACTTTACTGCTGGTTACACTGTCCACTGAAATAACTTATTTGCAAAGTGATATGGTTAACATGCTTTAAATTTAATAGAGAAAAAGCGAGCCAGGGCTGCTTACCTCATATGTATTCATCTTTCCAGCAAAGCTATGAGTATTATGAGTATCGAAGCCTTGATTATGATCGTGTAGTTCAACTTGATTATCCATGGGCAATGCAATTATTCTGTGCTGTATTGTGAAACTTTCAAATTATGCTTTGGGCTCGACGATGCTTGAAAGGCGACTCAGTCGAGTGCTGTGCGACAAGAGATAATTTCACCTACAAAACCGAATGGATCTCCGAAGGCTCATAGTTCATAGAAGTTAGTTTTAGAATTTACTCTTGTGCTTTTGGAGAAGCTGATAACACTTTTTAGGAGACCTCAAACTCCAAAAGAAGCAGGCATTAAACACAACCGTTGATTTTCAAAACGCACGCCAAAATCAGAGAGCCAGTCTACGCTCGTGCTAATAGCCCACGTTCGATATATTATTCATGAGGCTTTCTGGTCATTTTTCTATATTTGGTTTGGTTTTCTTTGTGCTCAATTCTCTCCTGGGAATTGCGAGACAATGGAGCTCGTGAAAAATTTGCAGTATTTTGAGCCTAAAGCCTCTGAGTCATATTAAAATTTAATTAATGTATCGAACGTGGGCTATTTACTGCAGAGGTTACAGAGATTCTACAATGGAGAGATCTAGACTGACCCATTGACTAAGAGACGTCTGCCATGGAATTTTGCCTTGATCGCACCAATGGAAATAAAAATAGCAAACGTTTGATACGTTGTGATTTATTTTTCTTCTTCCATTTTTCGGTTCCCAACCCGACTGAACAATGAGAACTTTTCAAGATTAAAACAATGTTTTTTTTTTCGATGTGACAGATGTTTTTGTTTTAATTTGTATTTTTTTTTTGTTTCTTTGTTTTTGTTTTGTTTTGTTTTTTCGCTGTTGTTAAATTGTATTTGATGTAAACCTCAGTCTGATGATTATTTCGTCAAGGTTATGATAAACATGTACCAGCCTAGTTTCTTGCGGAGGGACGGAATACAGCTAAGGGAGGAAATAACTGTCTAGTTTCCTTCGAAATAATCATTTTATTAGGCAAGCCTAGTAGACTAAGATCTTGAAATAAAAACCTTACTTAAATTACTGTTATCATAATTATGAGCTTGCGAACTATTACACTAGACTATATAACGAAGCATTCTAAGTAGAAGGTTATTTCATTAAACGTTACTTAGCAAAACTAATATTTAGATTCTTTTTATATGGTATATATGTTATGTAAAAGCATTTTAATGAACCCTTTCAATCGTAGGTAGAATAAACATCAGCGCAAACTCTTCCCCCGTTGACTCCCTCGTTCCGATTCGCCAGATCTTCACCGTACCACAGACGTAACACTTGATTGGAAGACAAGATAATAGGATTCAAGAAAACTGACAGAACAAGCTCGGGTGAGAGGGAGTTATATCCAGGAATCGTGTACCACTTATTGGTTACATCGCCGATGAACTGATTTGGTGGCAGTAGAATGTGATTGCTTGAGTTTGTTATGACTACGTTGACTCGAGTGTCAGTGAATGAGTCCCAAGTATTGTCACCACAGCCCCAGTAAGACCAATCAGAAGTCACACTGTTGAAACAGGACACATACCCGTATAGCCAAACCAGCTTTATGGCTGCTAACCTACCAGCTGGAGCGGTAAAATTTCCAAACTTGTCACCTTGGGCCCCAAAACATACTGGAGAGAGATTAAGCTTCAACCATCGCTCTGGAATTCAAACAAGGAATATAAAAAAAATAAGAAGCACACATTCTTCACTAAATGGTTCATTCGTTCAGAAGTAGTGGCTTGCATTGGTTAATGCGCGGCAGCCTGGAAGGGGCTTGGCCAACAGTCACAATATTTCGTGTATTTCTGTACCTCGTTCGTTCTAACTCCTCGAAAATGGCCTTAATGCTATTGATATTCAGTGGATCGCATCCCTGGTTCGTTTAGTTCAAACATTTCGATAAGCTTAATCTTTATCTTAAACAGCAAAATTGCCCTTGTCTTCGAAACTGAAAATGCTAAATTGAACTGCGAATGAAGAATCATTGCGGAGAGTCGGTAGGTTTTTCATTTAGAGCCCGGCTTTGTGGTTTCGGCGGCCGGTGATTTTGTTTACGCGAAGTTTTCTGAGATCAGTGTTATAATTCGACCTTCTTGCTATTTTTACCGTCAAGTGTAATGATTCTGTTAGCTTTTCTTTCTTGTCTCCTTGTTTTTTTTTTTCTAAAGCAAATCATTGTGTTTTTGAACTAAGTGTTCCGTGTGTGTGTTTATTTCATTTGCGTGATTGCGATCGAGTTTGATTATCGAATTTATTACAACCGGTTCAGAGTTGTACTGATTGCAGTTGATAGTTTGAACGTTAAGCATGAATTGCAATCGAAAAAAATAAAGCAGTTCTGTATCATGCAGACATTTCCAAACGATATTTCTCGGTTTGCCACTTGAATATCGTGTTTTACTTTTTGCATGAATTAAAGCAAAGGTCAAGGAGTAGTGACGTCACTGGACGTCATTAACGGCCGGTCGATTCAGACGTTACTGAGGGAGTAATAACGACTCGAAGAATTCGGATGAAATTCAGGCTACTCGCATGATTGACAAAACAAAAGGAAAAGCTGGCGTGACTATTTAACCGAAATTTTTATAAATATTCAGAGGTTGCCTTAAAAACCAAATTTCGAAAACTTAAGACTTATCATTTAATAAATTATTAAATTTTCTTACCAGAGGGTTTTGGAGCCGGTCGTGACATTAAAGAAAAACTTCTGTTGACCGATTCAATGAGAGACTCGACCTTTGCTTCTAAGAACTTAACGGCATCACTGACATTCTCCACCTTTGCCTCTAAAGACTCGATGGCATCGCTGAGGCCAGAAGTCTTGTTGTTCAGTCCAAGAAGAGTCTGCACCTTTGCTTCTAGGGAGCTTAGGTTCTGCTTTGCACTGCATGTGCATCTACAGCTACTAAACCGAGGTGTTTGGCTGTTCAAGGAAAACGAAACAGTGGTAATACCAAGCAGAACAATTGGCAAAAGCATCATAAAAGAGGAATTGAGTCGATTTTAGCTAACGTCTGAATTGCATAATTGTCTTCCTTGTCTTCCCTATTTTATATTGGGTATATTGCCCAGTGATACTTGCGTCCCTATTCTCTCGATGTCAGCCTTCTTGAAGAGAGCCATCCTCTATTTACGCGGAAGCAATCTATTAATTATCCAGGAACTATATCGACGCTGGCAGAAAGCTTTTGCCGAAAAAAACACCCACTTAATACGTATTACGTAACTATAAGTACGTGCGATGGACCATCGCGATGATTAAGGACGCGTTCTTTAAAATATTGGTGACAAATTAAATAGCTCATAACAAATACACCTTCACCATTCATTACCCGGTGATATTTGCGGCACTCTTCTTCTTGCTGTCAGTCTTAATGGCCAAAGCCAGGCTTAGAAGATGTCGACCTAATTTTCCACGAGCTACACTGACATTAGAACAAATCTTTTGAAAAAAGTTAAACTTTGACTTTTCCCGGCTTATAAACGGAGATAAATCCCTTAGCTTGTATTGTATTTCAGTAAATATAAATTTAACATCCTTAATACAGAAATCTATCAATGCATATAATGAACACTTTTTTCTTTTCCCATGAAAAGTTGACTTCGCCAATACGGACAATCCTTTGTCAACCGCGAGCTTAATAAGATGTACGTTTTGTGGAGATAAAAAAACAGTGTAGTCTATCCGTGAGTTTCCTGTTATTTTCAAGGGCGGATTTAGGGGTGGGCCCAGGGGGCCCTGGCCCCCCCTTTTGTCCGGGAATTTTTTTCCTTTGTAAACGTGTACATGTGTCTGATGGTACTTCGAGATTTCTAGCTTAAATATATTTTCTTTAATAAAAATTGTTAATAAGAAAATTTACCGAACCTTGTCTTTCTTGGGAGGTTGCCGGCTCTCGCCGCAATCGCTTCGGCCCATGCTGGCATCATAAAGTGTTAATTACTTCCTTGGCCACAACTACACCCATCGTTGATAGAGTGTTTTCACATGAAGTCACGGCGGCCATATTGGTGTCCCAAAACAATGAAACGGCCGCCATGTTGGTGTCCCAAACCAATCGTGTGGGACTTGAATTCTTTTCTTATGCAGACGCTTTCTTTTGTTCCAATAAATTTGCATAGATGCTGACCACGTGAGTGAAAACACTCTATAAAATATTTCAGCATTACATGTTCAATATGGATTCCAGACATTTGATAAATTTAAGAGTCCAGAACGCACCAGACTTGCATATCAGAGAACTTCAATCTCAAAAATTTTTCAGGAGGAGCATGCACCCCAAACTCCTTAGAAAAGTGCGCCGTTCGCAGTCCTGATGGCCGCTATCGCGCCCATATTGCCACTGTATACTATATCTCTAGGCCCCCTTTATCATAAAATACTCCATCCGCTGAGATTTTGCTCTGATAAAGTGTGTATATTTGATTTAATAAACAAGAGCACCTCCCTGTCACTTCACTTGTGTTTTCTGGATTTTTCCGACAAGGAGGGACGACAGAATAAATGAAATGAGGTCAAAGTTATTTTTAGCCAACAATGGAAAAAGGTTGTAAATATTGTAAATATCTTATTATCCACTCCCCGCAGGGCTTTTCAGGGATAATTGACAACACTGGTTGGGGGACTTAAGGTGCAGTTTACAAGTAATGAAGGAATGAGTAATGATTCCCCCATACACTAGAAGGAAAAAAATCGACAACATAATAGTAAAAATAAACGATACTGAAATAAAACAAGTTGAATGAACCAAATTTTTAGGAATATACAGCTATTTCAAAAAAGGTTGTTGGAGAGAATGGCGAACGGCGAATCAGTGTCGAACGGAGGTTGCACGACCGAAAGGAACTGTGGTTACGTTATTTGATACGCAAAGTTTCACAAGTTGCTTATGAACGTTTGTCTGAGGGTTCTTGACGGCGAAGACAAAAGAAACTCACGCTTTTTTTCAAATTGAAAGATCTTCCTCGTTTCCTCGTATGAACGGCCTATTGTCTCCGACTTTACATCGCCAGTCACAAGAAATTTAGAAATATAGCGCTCAACTGTTCTTTCAGAAACGCCAAATGAATGCTTAAGAACATGGACAAACCATACTAACCGGCCATTGAAGGCCTTCACTAAATAGAGCCGGCGTCATTGATTAGCTTAGCTAGATAGTGGATAAGCTATCTTCAATATTCAAAACCCACAATTCCTTTCGGTCGTACAATCTCCGTTCGACAATTGCCATTCGCCTTTCTCTCCGACAACCTTTTTTTGAAATAGGTGTATATTGACTCTAATTTAACATGGAAAACACATATCAAACATATTACAACCAAAATAGCAAAAAACAAGTGGTATTTTATTTAAAGCTAGACACTTCCTTCCCTCTCAGACTATGAGAACCCTATATTATTCATTAATTTACCCTTATCTTAATTATGGAAATATAATATACGGGCAAATACTTATCCCTCGAGATTAGAATCAATCTAAAAACTACAAAAGGAGATTGTCAGGGCTATTTCATTTTTATATCCTAGAGATCATGCAAGTCCAATTTTTGAAAATCTCTCTATTTTACCAATTGATGGTGAGGCGATAGTATTATTTGCATTTAAATTTTTCGCAAAAGCACTTCCTATCACTTTCAAAGATCTTTTCTTGTCTAATAATTATTTCCATAACCATAAAACCTGGTCCTCATTCAAAATCCACAAAGAACAGGCACGTACGAATTATAAAAGATATTCTATCAGATTTAAAGGATGTGAAATTTGGAACAACCTTCCCATATTCATCAAAAACTCAGAATCATTTAATATTTTTAAGAAAAGAATTTAGAACATTATATTGATTTATTAAAGTAATATAATCATACCAAAGATAGCCTTTGTAATTATCTAATTAAAACAAGTACAGCCAGTCACATGTTGATAATGTATCAATCATTTTATACTTTACAGCAGGGGCTCTCCTAGTTGAGCACAGAAGGGTTTTGTCGAAAGTTCCTACTCTACTCTTCCTATTCTGTTGTGAAAATGTACCTATGTAAGTGACACAGTTTGTAGAGTGAAATAAAGATTGATTGATTGATTGATACGTGAGTGTGAAAGCGAGATAGACCACTACACCGGGCACTACATGCCCTACTCTCTACAAAGAGTGTATAGGTTCTTCAACCGTCCACAGATAATATTACATGTGTAAGGGCTTGTGAGACGGGCCTACGGTTTATCGTCCTCATCCGAGAAGACTAGAAAGTCTAACCGTTTGCAGATGTTATTACAAAGGCAGCACTTCTCCTCAGTTATCTAAAGACCTTGAGTGTTTACGTTGGGCCGGCCGGGGTTTGAACCTACGGCCTCCCATCAAAGATTTAATTGATTTTCCGTTCAAGCCCTGCTAAACAGGCCACCCTAAAATTGTAATATGATCGATCCACCATTACAGTGGGATAGTGTAGATTAATTAAAGTCTTATTCTGGTTTCAGAGTTTCTGTTCCAAATATCGAAATACTACTTTTTGGTCGTAAGAATATAAAAAATGTGGTTGTTCATCAGGTGATCAATAAACATGAAGCGTCAAGGTCAGTTCAGGCAAAAGGTATTTATATGCTCTTCCGTGGTACTATACCACTGTAACTGTACATCCACATGGTAGTGAAAAACACTTGGAGACTCTCACATCAAAATGTCAAACCTGTGTGTTTAGGGCAGCCTCTCAGCAATTAAGTTTTAAAGAAACCTCCAAATTACTAATGAGTGCTGACTCGTTTTCTCGTTTTCCCTATAAATCTTGGGTAGAATATCAATACCCAATGAAACCCTTCTTTACTCAGAAGTTATCTATTTACACTCCAGGAACGATATCGACATTGGTCGGAATCATACACAAAAAGGAAAAACACTTATTAAAACGCGCTAATACAAACACCATGTGATCATGAACTCTGCTTTGTTTTTAACTCAGGAAAACCCCTTGTATTGACCCTAAACCCAACTCGCTTAATATAGACAAACGTTAGTGCTGTTAGACTAACTGACATTTATTTATTTTTGTTGTAGTTTTTTTTTTCTTGTCGTTACTATTATTGTGCTCCCTATTGCGAACAACGCTTTATCAACTGTGTCCTTAGTAAGCTTAATTTTACTCTTTGAATAAATGTAATAAAACCGTCTAGTTACAATATCAGATAAAACCCTTGAAACACTTTGGAAAAGTTCGCTCTCCTATGTTCCCTCCCCTCTTCCTTTTACATTGTTGTTGTAGTCACGCATCTTTGCAATCACATCTCAACATTGCAGAGAAAAGGAAAGTACTGTACTGTAGCGTTTCAAGAATTATTCGCGTTTAGAGACAAGAATTCAGAAAGTTTAGGAGTTAGCTGTAGTCAAGAAACAACCAAATCTGGCATATAACTAATCATTTCTGCCAAACATAGTACTAGATCATGTAATGCACTCATAGATTTAATAGTCATCCCTATTTTTGAATTAAAGACAATGAATTGTCCGCATAAATTCTTTTGATATTTTGTTCTGGTAAACTGTGATGGTGTTCTTTTGGCCTAGGATTATTTAAGATGGCTGGCCCGTATTTTTGTAGGCATACCTTCCATTCGTTAGATTAAACAGCTTGGCCAGTTATGGACGGAATCGAAATGAATGTCACGTGAGAATGACGTCACATTTGTTTTAGCTCTTAATCGAATATCAGCCCTTATAATTCGCGTTTTCCTTTAGACTGTTCTATGCTGGTTATGTACACTGGGTTCTTCCCTTCTGCTGTGCAACGCGTTTTACAAAATCTAAAGAGGAATTTTTGCATGAAGACAAGACTTTATTTAAGCAAACAGTTCGGCTACTTATCATTCACTCTTTTATTAATTAACAAATGTCCCTTAAACATTCTTCAGACCATAAGAGACAGGTAGACTTGCGTGATTTTGATAAAAGGAAAGAATATGCATCACGGCAAAAACGAGCTCTTTCCCTACATACTTTCACGAAAACATCGATTGATTCAAAAGTCGTAGATAGATTAAATTCTCAAACTTTCCTGGGTAGCAAAGATAGCTGAAAACATCCATTAGTATTAGCTAAGGTTTATGTATTAGGCACAAATTCCACCTTTGAACCAAGCTCCTATTACTTAAATGGCTTGATCTTTTCTGTAGATCCATTATGATATATGGATTGCACACAGAGTGTACATTATTTTTGGAGATCGGAATAAATATCACGTGAAAATTACTTCACAGTTTTGTTATAATTTTTGAATCGAATTTTAGCCCTTAATACTCAGTTTCTCTGGAAATACCCTATGTGATGTATACTTTGTGTATTTCATGTCGATTGAACATTCTTCATGTTGTTATTAATTATTGGAGTAACGTCATTGTTTTGGAAAATGTTGTACTTTGGCCGGAATGTCTTGAGCACAACATCAAATTCAAAGGCAAAACCCTTGAATTTACCACGCTTTTCTACCCAGGGAAACCTTCATATGGAAATATTCAAAAATTCAAAAATTGAGGACTACTTCCCCCGGGGGAGGGGGGTTACTTCCTTATAAGAGGCTAATGGGATATGCCGCTGGATGGAGTCGCATTTTCACGACTGGATTGACTATAATAGGGTCGCATTTTCAATAGAATTACTAGAATGGGGTCACACATTTTCTAAGTTTTTAAACCTGATAATACACGACAGTACATAAGAAATTTAATGAAATATTGTTTTAAGAATGTTTACTTTTGAGCTTTACCGCTGGTTACACTGTCCACTTAAATAATTTATTTGCAAAATGATGTGGTTGACATGCTTTGCATTTAAGAGGGAAAAGGGAACCAGGGCAGCTTACCTCATATTATTCATTCTTCCACCAAAACTATGAGTGTCGAAGCCTTGATTGTAATTGTGTAGTTCAAATGATCGTCCATGGGCAATGCAATTATTCTGTGCTGTATTGTTAAAACTTTCAAATTATGCATGCGGCTCGACTCAGTCAAGTGCTTTGCGACAAGAAATAATTTCACGTGCAAAAGCAATGGGTCGCCGAAGGCTCCTAGTTCATGGTAGTTAGTTTTAGAATTTACTCTTGTGTTTTTGGAGAAGCTGATAACACTTTTCAGCAGACCTCAAACTCCAAAAGAAGCAGGCATTAAACAGAACCGTTGATTTTCAAAACGGACGCCAAAATCAGAGAGCCAGTCTACGCTTGTTGTAATAAGCCCACGTTCGATATATTAAAATTCTAACATGACCATGAGGCTTTCTGGTCATTTTTCTATATCTGGTTTGGCTTTCTTTATGCTCAAGTCTCTTTTGGGACTTGCAAGACAATGGAGTCGTGAAAATGTGCAATTTTGAGCCTAACGCCTCTGAGTCATATTAAAATTTTAATATATCGAACGTGGGCTATTTACTGCAGAGGTTACAGAGATTCTACAATGGAGAGATCTAGACTGACCCATTGACTAAGAAACTTTGCCTTGATCACACCAATGCAAATAAAAGTAGCAAAAGTACGTTGTGATATATTTTTACTTTTTCCATTTTTCAGTTCCTAACCCGACTAAATAATGAGTTTTTCTACTATGGATCTTTTCAACATTAAAACAATGTTTTTTTTTTCCGATGTAACATATGTTTTTGTTTTAATTTGTAGTTTTTTTTTGTTTGTTTGTTTTTGTCTCTTTGTTTTATTTTTTTGGTTTTGTTTTGTTTTGTTTTGACTTTTCGCTGTTGTTTGTATTTGTTGTAAACATCAGTCTGATGATTATTTCATCAAGGTTATAATAAACATGTAAATGTATTAGCCTAGTTTCTTGCGGAGGGACGGAATTCAGCTAAGGCAGGAAATAACTAGCTTCCTTCGAAATAATCATTTTATTGGGCAAGCCTAGTAGAAGATCTTGAAATAAAAACCTTACTTTAACACCATGTTTAATAAGTTAGTGTAAGACATAATTATGTGCTTGTGAACTATTACACTAGACTAACGAAGCACTCTAAGTAGAAGTTTATTTCATTAAACGTTACTTAGCAAAACTGATATTTAAATTCTTTTTATATGGTATATAAGTTCTGTAAAAGCATTGAATCCTTTCAGTCGTAGGTAGAATAAACATCAGCGCAAACTCTTCCCCCGTTGTCTTCCTCTTTGTGATTCGCCAGATCTTCGCCGTACCACAGACGTAACACTTGATTGGAAGACAAGCTAATAGGATTCAAGAAAACTGACAGAACAAGCTCGGGTGAGAGGGAGTTATATCCAGGAATCGTGTACCACTTCATGGTTACATCGCTGATGAGCTGATTTGGTGGCAGTAGAATGTGATTGCTTGAGTTTGTTATGACAACGTTGACTTGTCGATGAGTGTTTTTTGCGTTCCTTGGATCGACACCGCAGCCCCAGTAAGACCAATAGGAAGACACATTGGTGCTGCAGGATACATAACCGTACAGATAAACCAGCTTTATGGCGGCTAACCTTCCAGCTGGAGCGCTGAAGTTTCCAAACTTGTCACCTTTGGCCCCAAAACACACTGGAGAGCGATTGAGCTTCTGCCAGCGATCTGAAACGCAAACAAAGAATACGATAGGTAATAATGTCATACTATCTTCGCTACAACGGTTATTTGTTTGACCCTTCCACTGTCAAAGGTGTCCAAAGTCAAAATTCAAACACATTTCCAAACTTTACTTCCAAAAGCTGAAAAACATACTGGTACCATGTTAAATTGTTGCCAAAGAGGTCCTATTTTAATAGCCACACCATCGATTATTTCCTCCTCAGCGTCAAGGCGGCCATATTGGTGTAATAAACAATAAACCTTTCCTGTGTTTCAACTAAGGCATTTTTTTAAGTTCGAAAATACCGGTAATGGAAACCATTTTCTTTTTCTACCGTAAAGCATTGATATTATAAACAATTCAAAAGTTTACATGAAAAAAAAAAAACGATTTAACGGCGGTGGGGCTGGTTACGGTCTAGCCTGCAAACAACTCACTTGTGAGAGTTCATGGAAAATTTTACCGGCGCGAAGAAGAATAGGGCGAGGAAACATGTTTTCCAGGACTCGCACAAGTGAGACGCCCATCTCCTGTGTTATTTCATCAATAGTATGAGCACTCAGGCATGTAATACTGCATTATATAGTAATAATAATAATGATAATGATAATAATGATAATAAATGGAAACTTTATTTATGTTTTTGAATTTACAATTGTAAATCTCGCTACGTATAGGAAGTTTAAAAATGCAGCTTGAGATTGGATTATTAAAAAAACGAACAAACAAACAAACAAAAAAAGAAAGAAAGAAAGAAAAAAGAAAAGAAAAGAAATCCAAATTGCATTAAGTCTGGGCTATCCCAGACTATACAAGTTAGGCTCGTCATTAGTGCCCTTTTAACAATGGCTAACTTTAGATGTACAGTGACTTTATGTGACTGTTTGGTAACGCTTTCCATTCTATTTTCAGTTTTTCTATTTTGTTGATTTTACGTAGAAAACAATTTTTATTAGGTTCATTTAAGAGGAATAATTCAGCGAAAATTTGGTACTTAAGCCGAAAACTCCGTAGCAACACTCTCGTGTCGTAAAAGTTCAGTCTATTTAATGTTTCTGTCGTAAATTGTCTTAAATAAATAATATCAAGAGTCTGTCACTTTTGGAGGACTGCCATTTAAAAGGATATTTTATTCAGTAACTTCTACTCTTTATTTAGCGGCCACTGAAAATATATGATATTAACACTCCCAAAAAATTTCAATTTCTGTGGACAACCAAATTTACACCTCACAAACCCTAACATTTCTCTTAAGAGTGGTTGCCATAGAAAACCGGTCAAAATTTTTAAAATGTCAACGGAAGGGGGTCAACAGAATAAGTTCATACTAACATCATCGATAGTTCTGGTGGAGTATTGGACAAATATACCAAACATAGGTTCTTCACTGCCCTTGTATTAGAGATACGAGCATCACTTTATTCGACCACTCGGACGCCATTTTTATAAGCAAATTATCACCATTTTCTTAAACTCCACAGAACCCGCACAATTTAACGAGCGAAGTTTATTTTTTGTATGCGATACAACACATCACAGAACTAATTTCTAAAACCGTAAGATTTGTTAAGTAGCCACGGACAAGACTAAAATTTTCTTATTTTATCTGACCTAATTTCAGTGTCTGCAAACGAGCAAAAATCGGGCATTTTGGAATTGATTTACAGCGCACAACTAAAACGACAGAACAACTCTTACAGCCAAATTGCAGTCTACTATCATCCATGTAACCAAAACACTAATAATCATTTTGGGCCATTGAAAATTCAATAGCGTTTTTTCAATGAACAACCAAATACATAATACTAGGAGTGCTCAATCTTTTTTTTTTTTTTTTATCGCCATGCAGAACCAATACCAGCACCGTTTACATTCAAGTTCCAAAGTTTTACAACTCTCTGAATGAATGGATGGATGGATGGATAGATGGATGGATGGATGGATGGATGGATGGAGGGAGGGATGGATGGAGGGAGGGAGGGAGGGAGAGACGAACGAACGAACGAATGAGCGACTGAATGAATGGATCTCTCCTCCCTCGCTTTCTCAGGACCTCTTCAAATCGGGCTTAAATAAAAAAAATGGCTGGCTATGCCCCTGATTTTAAATATGCTTAATAGAGCATAGTGGAAATCTTTCAAGAGAAATGTAAAGGACTATCTTTGAGGACAAAATTCAGAAATCGTCTATGGTCAAACAAGAATTTATAGTGTTTACAAGCCTGATTGTGCCGGGATATCGCGCAACATACTATACTGGATAAAGCGCAGAGCACTCCAAAACGTAATTCTTCCTACTTACCAGGAATAACAGTGTATCTTGCTTTAAATCCACGGGCGGTTAGAGAACCATCAGTAACAAAACATACGATCAAGGTTTCGTGGTAAGAAGAAAAAGTCGAATTGTTGGTGAGTGAACCACATAAACGCCCAGGGAGCACGCCACTGCCATATATGACAGCATTTTGAATTTGTATATAGTCGTAGGGACAGTTAGTCCCACTTTCTATGTCCATGTCTTGAATGACCAACTTGACGCGATTTCCTGTACTTGCCATGATTTTCCATGTGCAATTGTGGTTATTACCATAATTTCCCGGGTAAGAAGGACTTGTGATGATGCCTGAGGTCCCTGTCAGGATTGCCATATTTGGACACGCTGACGCTTTAAGACAAGAGAATAATAACACGTTTGGTTTTGGAAAAGGTGAAACACTCGCCACGTCAAGCTGATGGAAAAAAGAAAGAGATTTGTCTTCCCACAACAGTGATCGGGCGTTTTAATCGTATAGTAGTTAATTTATCCTGGTGTTAAAGGGGGGTTTGTCTCGAGGATATTGCTGTTTTTAGGAATATTACGTGCTGAAGTCATTACTTAGTACCTATACACTTATACAAAATGCTCCTTTAGAGTTATGGAGAAGGTCCCAAACAAAACTTATCAGACAGCACTAGCCATAATTATTTTTTGGTAATTTTTTACATTGAAAAGGCTGGCCATTTTTTCAAGTTTCAATCATCCTTGCCATCCATATTAACAGACGACAGGAAACGGTTTTAATGCCTAAACATAGTCTTATTCTTGGAATTCAATTGATTCGAAAACACGCCTTAGCTTTTTAAAAAGGTAGAAAATACGGTGACATAGCCCCTTTAAATAACTTGGTACATACCGTAAGAAATACCTCCATGGAATTCCATCGATTTCCGAGGAAAAAATTTCCATGGCATTCCATGGGGGATAAGGACATCAATCTCAATGGTATTCAATGGAAAAGTTCCACGAAATTCCATGGAAACTACTGCATCCAATTCCATTGATCTCCATGGAGTTCCATGAAATTCGCAGGAATTAGACCATGGAATTAGAATATCGCATTGAGTTACAGATGTAAATGGAATATATGTATTTACAATTTTCCACAGATTTAGGTGTCACTGCAAATTACTGGATAAGTTCGCTTTTATTACATAGAAAACCGCTCAATCTCTTTTGAAAAGTTATAAATACAAATTACTTAAGCTCAATGAAATCAAAACTCACTCAGAACAACAAGTTGCTCAAACGTACATCGATAAATTTTTAGTGACTGACAGTTAGTCAGATTACGGACCTGACTCTTAATTGTTACAAGGTGCCTGTACTGAGACTCTAGACAGCCAAGTCCAAGGAACAACTACTCAGCCTCCCCACCCATGAAGCTTATGACTACTCAATCACTTCCCCCAAGCTCTGCTAGTAGTGTTTCGGGCGAAGTCTTCCGGACTATGAAAAGTGCATCAGGAAATCATGAACAGGAGACGGTGATTGAAGACTAACGCAAAAATAGATAATACAATAAAGAGTCCAAAGAAACGCTAAGACTTATACGGGATAACTCAAAATGAAGTGAATGAAGAGCAAATGAAGACTGAATAAAGTAATGCCAATTGGTCACCTGTTCACCACACATCACTCCGCCATAAAAAATCGACAACACAAAACAAGGTAAATTTAACTAAAAGTAGTAATTGAAGAAGAAATAGGACTGTACTAGGTCGCTGATAAGCCGGTTTGTTTCTTTTTTGTTTTTTAGCCATTTGGTAATTTATTATCTTGTGGACAAGGCAGCTACTAGTGCCAGTCCCTCCTGAGTGCTGAATTTTCAAGATGGCGTCGCTTTGTTATTTTCTAGTTTCGTCGTTCAGCACTTTTTTCCCTTTCAAAATGTAACCTAGGCAGTATTTCGAGCTTTTTGATATTTCCTTCAGCTGTTGAACATACTTTACAGCGAAATATGAAAGAAAATTCACGAAGAGGACTTAAAACAAACACGAAGCGATCGGCCTGTTTACAAGAAAAAGAAAGGAAACTATAATAAAATGTGAGTTTTCTAATTTCTTCCTGTTTCAATGGCCCAAATGATTATTAGTGTTTTGGTTACATGGATGATAGTAGACTGCAATTTGGCTGTCAGCGTTCTTCTGTCGTTTTAGTTGTGCGCTGTAAATCAATTCAAAAATGCCCGATTTTTGCTCATTTGCAGACACTGAGTTTAGGTCAGATAAAGTCTTGTCCGTGGCTACTTAACAAATCTTACGGTTTTAGAAAGTAGTTCTGTGATGTGTTGTATCGCATGCAAAAATAAACTTCGCTCGTTAAATTTTGCGTCCGAGGTGGTCGAATAAAGTGATGCTCGTATCTCTAATACAAGGGCTGTGAAGAACCTCTGTTTGGTATATTTGTCCATTACTCCACCAGACCTATCTATGATGTTAGTATGAACTTATTCTGTTGACCCCCTTCCGTTGACATTTTTAACATTTTGCCCGGTTTTCTCTGACAACCACTCTTATTTTATGTTCCACAGAGTACATTTATTTCGTATCAACTTTTCAAAATTCGATCCCTTATAAAGGGAATCATTTAAATTTTTCGACCAAAGGAGTATCTAGTAAGCATGGGATTCTACAGTTTTGACTAAATACCAGAATGCAGTGTTGCAAAACAGTGCAAGACCAGAAGCTAAAAGTAGTTGAGTATGACATGAGAATAATAAGATTTATTATTTATTTATTTAGTCACTCACAAAACCTTATACAACATGAATAAAAGTTGTAAATATAAATTTAATGTGACAAGGAAGCCTAACGAAGCTTGAAGCTTATATTGATAGGCTTCCTTCAACTACCTAGTGAACTAAATTCATGGCTGAGTGCAGAGTGAACAAGATCAGAAAACTAACGACAGATCGGCTGTCAGTGAGATAATTCTTTAAATTTTTTTTTAAAAACAAATATAGAAAGAGAGCTAATTAGTGTAACAGGCAACGAATTCCAGGTTTTAGGTCCTCGGTAAAGGATACTGAATTGCTTTATATTTGTTCTACAAAAATGAGGTCTATACTGAGAGGCTAGTCGAGTTTCCTATTGATGGACTTGATTACTACTTAAGAACAAGTCATGAAAGCTACTAGGCAAAAGATTATGGTGATAAGAATACATAAAGGTAGCGACAGAAAATGAATTAATACCAAATATGTCAAGGACTTTAAGCTGGCTAAATAAAGGGGCGGTATTTGCTAGATAGTGAGCTTTTGTTATGAGCCGCACTAGACGCTTTTGCAAAAGCTAAATACAGTTTAGGTTGGAACAGTAGGTGGAGGACCAGGCGATATTACAGTATGTTAAGAAAGGATATACAAGGGAGTAAGATGAAAACTAATTAAACTGAATGAGATTTTTTTTATGACGCTTAAATATTTGTAATTATCTTTTAGATTACCTGCTGGTTTCTGAGCCGTTTGTGGAATGAAACTTCTGTTAATCAGACCAAACAGACTCTCAACCTTTCCCTCCAAGGATTGTACAGCGTCGCTGACGCCAGAAGTTTTGTTGTTTAGTCCTGTAAGGCTCTCCACCTTCGCCTCCAAAGACTTGACCACATCGCTGATGCCAAAAGTCTTGTTGGTTAGCGCAAAAAGACTCCACCTTTGCTTCTAAGGTCTTTACGGCATCGCCTACCCCAGAAGTTTTGTTGTTCTGTTTAATTAGACTCTCCACTTTTGCCTCTACGGACTTTATTGCACCACAACTCCCTAGAGTACTGTTGTTCAATCCAGAAAACTTCTCTACCTTTACTTTTAAAGAGTCCACGGCTTTGCCTAGGTCCGTGCACTGGCAAGTCAACTGAACGTTGCAGTAGCTACAGGGGTCCCTATTAATTGAACTCACAGACGAATTTGTCACACCATTAACGAAACAGAAAACAAAGTTGAGGAGAAAAAATGACAAATACATCATAACAGTTGTGGATCATGAATTTGAAGAAGCATCTGAATTGCCGAATGGTTTACTTGTTCCCTTTATATCTTGATATCTTGGGTACAATATCATCAGTATTAAAACTTGCCGTTCAATTTTGTCAATTGAATATTTAGTGACTTCCAGAGCAAGTTGTTTACGCAGAAGCCATCTATTAATTCTCCACGAACTATATTGGTGCTGCAACGAATCATTTGCGAAAAAAAAAAACACTCGACGCCATAAACGAAAAACGGAACAAAGAACAGGAGAAAAAATGACAAAAACATCATATCAGTTGTGGATCACGGATTTGCAGAAGCATCTAAATTGCCAAGTAGTTTACTTTACTTGGGTATCATATTATTACCTATTAAATCTTGCAGTACTATTTTGTCAATATTTATAGTGATTGCCAGAGCTGGAACCTCGTTTACGGAGAAGCCATCTATTAATTCTCCATGAACAATATTTGTGTTGGCGCGAATCATTTGCAAAAAAACTACACGGTTAACACCGTCCCTGGTACGATCACCTCGTTAGTCATGTACAAGGAATTTTTCCCGCTTATGGCAGGAAAAAAACCCTTGGTATGCATACTCACTGATAGTTAGTTTAGTTTTGTTTTCTTTATACAGTGTATCTTGATATTTTGCGTATGCAATCAATACCCAGTGAAATTTGATGGCCAAAGTACCCCTCCTTTTACTCAGACACTATCTATTTACGCTCCAGCAACGATATTGACGTTGGCAGGAATTATATTCAAAAAGATAAAAAGACTCATTGTATCTTCGTAATAAGAACACCTTCACCTTTGATCATGGACAGTTTAATTTCCTTTTAACCAGGAAAAATCCCTTCTATTGATTCGTCCCACTTCAGAAACTCATTAATAATTCATAACGAAAAAACAAAACAAATTAATGTTCAGTGAGTGTCTTTATATCTGATAAAGACACTTCTAAACCTTACGTCCAATTTTTTAGACCAAAATAACCCCAAATCTAAATATTAGTGCAAGAAATGAGTTGATCTATATAAGAGATTTTGAAGCCGTTCAAAAATCTCGCAGTCGGTGTAAAAACTCTCGGCTTCGCCTCGAGTTTTTAAACCTGATAATACACTCCTGCTTATTTTTTTAAACAGTACTTAAAACACGATTGTTGTCTGATAATGAGTGCATTTGTGGCTTTTAAGCCACAAATGGCATGCCGTTCTTAATACTAAAACCTCCCTGCTACCACATTGATGACATGAGGTTACTATGGCTACGCGCTACTGATGACCTCATAAATGACAAGAGTCAAGATATCTAAAGACAAAAAATAGAATTTGTTCAATCATCACTGATTTTTAAGTTGAGCATGAAAAAATGCTTAGTTTCTGGGCTATTCACCAAAAGCATGGCCTTACCTAAATTAAACTGGGAAAGCCTCCGTCCGCTGTCATTAGGGAGCTTAAGCAACGACGACGCGGACGGCAACGAGAACGGCAAAAAAGCAGTAGGTTTGATTAGAAAACAACAACTTTTCACGTGCACCACGCTTTTTTGTACATTTCTTTGCCGTCATTGCCCGAGACTACAACGTGAAAGTGCCTGAATTCACGTTTTGTCGAGGACGGGAACACAAGACAACAACTTTCTTTTCTTTTCCTGAACTTTGATACAGTCCTTTAGAATTCAACTCCAAAAACATTTGCTAACATTTGACGAAGTAAACAAGATGGAATAAACGCGATAAAGTTTGAAGCGGTGCAAATTCACTTTTTAAGTGACGTTTTTGTAGTCGTCGCCGTCGTTGTTGCTTAAGCTCCCTATTACAAAAAGACAGTAACTGTTTAATACATACAGTATGTTGCCAAGTATCCGGACGGTACCAGTATCCGGACACTTGAAACAAAAACTCCATTTTTGAGGCGCCCTTTTCAGTTGTCGGTAAACGAAGTGTTTCGAATGAAAGCTGAACATTTCAGCTTTAAGATGAAAGTTTTAGCGGGTTTAAAGCTTACGAAACAGTCGCAGAAGGCGCCGTTCTGTTCAGGTGATAAAACTTTTCAAGGCTAATATTTACGCTGTTTACTGCGCAGTAAAATTAGTGCTGCTCAGAGAAGGGTAGGTGATATGTGATATTTTCAAAGAAATTGTTCTATATTTAAAGTGGAGATACTTAAAGAATTCAGGTTCTCAGAAAGTTTATTAATTCTTCTTGAAATTCGATTTGTTTGGATTAACAGAGGCCAGAAACATTCACTAAGTATTGATGTCAGGTGCCCAGTATCCAGACAGTTTTTTCTTTGCTGTACACAATCGATGAATCAGCTGTGTACATTGTCCGGTTAAGACTTATTTCGTAGTTGTAACTATAATTAAAGCTTAGGATATATATGATATAGTCGTTATTTGTAATTCTACTCAACTCCGTATGGAAATTTTCTTCACTCATCACTGAATAGTGGGTGGAAGGAAAAACAGAGGGAGTGGATGCGATTTCTAGTTGTAGTATTTACTTAAAACTTGAATACCATTGAAGGGACACCGTCGGGACCAAGGCAAGTGTCCCTTGATCCCCTGAATGGAGGTTGGGCTGGGGTTTGTTAATAGTTAAACAACAAATAAAATATTCTCCTTTTATTCTGCCTCGGAATCTACTGCAATAATTATTTCAAGCAGCAAGATAATATATATATTTAAAAAAAGAAACGTGATTAAATTATCTCTGCGAAATTCCCACAAGTGCAGTGCATCGATTAAACTGAGATAGTTTATGCTTTGAACCTGCTGTCGCCATTTATATTGTGACTAGTGTACACTTATCAATAATTTTGTAGCCAGGCACTTTTTGAGTGCTAAGGTGTCCCCTGAATGGAGGTTAAACTTGGGTTTCGGGACCCACAAAAAGTGTCCCTTTCCAATGAAAAAAAAAAGGAAAGGGTTGATTATATTACAGGTAGCAGAGGAAAAAGATTGTTGCTTTGCATCAATTAAAATATTTTCTTAACTAAATTCTCGAAGCTACATCTGCAGCATTGGACTATTTGTTGTTGTTGCTTTTTGGGTAAAGGCCAATAGTTTTATGATGAAGTCTAGTAATTTAAACGATTTTCATTACACCTCAACTTTCTTAACTAAACTGAAAAAACTGAAAGAGTCACCTGTGTTCCTCACGGCTTACAACGAAAACTGTCTCACAACATTCAAATTCAAGAGTTAGTAGTATGTGATAATCTAATGTCCCCAAACAAAAATTACAATATAAGACTCTTAATTAAAGCATCAAAACCGAAAATTGCTTTGTAAGCTTCACGATCGCATTTTAGCCTGACATTGGATCCGAGGTCAATACTTCACCTATACATCATATTATAATATGTGTTCAACGAAGATCGAGGGATACGTCAGGTAACACTGATATTGATCGTTCAGAGAATGGCCCTAACGTTTCTTAAAAAAGAAAAAAAAAACAGTCAGTTAGCAAAGAATGCGATTGTCATTTTATTCCGTCCAATGTTCCGTTTATGCTAACTAATTATTTTGCTTCCTGAACATAATGGTCAATAATAGACTTATTTTGCACTTTTTACAGAGCTCATGTCCAAAGCAGTATAGGATTACGGTGCCTCAAAGTCTTCGATATCCTTAGGATAGGCAGCCTCCGCCACGAAATATCAAGAATTTATTATATGATTTGGTTCAGGTGGTTGCTTAGCCTACTCCACACAGGGGAAACCAATTTAGGATTAAGATAACTTATTATAAAGAGTCGCATTTGCTTCGAATTTCCCAAAAATAAAATGCTGTGTCTTAATAAAACTAAAAAAAAAAACATACTTCTAAATATACGAATCAATAACGAACATAAATATATGAATGAATAAATAGATAAATAAAAAAGACAATGACTTTAGTTTTTAACTAGAAATTAATCAAAAATGCCCCTTACTTATCTTTTTCGTACTGTTTCTTGCAAGAAGAGATGAAAGCAGCTGATGCTGTTGTGACTTTTAATAACCAAAAATTCAAAATCTTTAATTGGTTGATATTAAAATCAAAGGACGAAAACTTAAAATTCACATTAACTCATATTTTTGTTGTAGATTACTTGTTGGTTTTGGAGTCTTTGGTACGGTGGGAAGAGATCAGACAAGGAAAAGGATTGTAGATCAGTACAAGGAGACCCTCCATCTTTGCCTCTAAACATTTTACGGTATCACCGAGGTCAGAGGTATTGTTGTGTTCAATCCAATAAGACTCTCAGCCCTGGCAAATCTTGATTTGCATTGCATTTACAGTTGCAATTACTTTCAAAACGTAATTCTTCCTACTTACCAGGAATAACAGTGTATCTTGCTTTAAATCCACGGGCGGTTAGAGAACCATCAGTAACAAAACATACGATCAAGGTTTCGTGGTAAGAAGAAAAAGTCGAATTGTTGGTGAGTGAACCACATAAACGCCCAGGGAGCACACCACTGCCATATATGACAGCATTTTGAATTTGTATATAGTCGTAGGGACAGTTAGTCCCACTTTCTATGTCCATGTCTTGAATGACCAACTTGACGCGATTTCCTGTACTTGCCATGATTTTCCATGTGCAATTGTGGTTATTACCATAATTTCCTGGGTAAGAAGGACTTGTGATGATGCCTGAGGTCCCTGTCAGGATTTCCATATTTGGACACGCTGACGCTTTAAGACAAGAGAATAATAACACGTTTCGTTTTGGAAAAGGTGAAACACTCGCCACGTCAAGCTCATGGAAAAAAGAAAGAGATTTGACTTCCCACAACAGTGATCGGGCGTTTTAATCATATAGTAGTTAATTTATCCTGGTGTTAAAGGGGGTTTGTCTCGAGGATATTGCTGTTTTTAGGAATATTACGTGCTGAAGTCATTACTTAGTGCCTATACACTTATACAAAATGCTCCTTTAGAGTTATGGAGAATTCCCAAACAAAACTTATCAGACAGCACTAGCCATAATTATTTTTTGGTAATTTTTGCATTGAAAAGGCTGGCCATTTTTTCAAGTTTCAATCATCCATATTGACAGACGACAGGAAACGGTTTTAATGCCTAAACATAGTCTTATTCTTGGAATTCAATTGATTCGAAAACACGCTTTAGCTTTTTAAAAAGGTAGAAAATAGCGTGACATAGCCCCTTTAAATAACTTGGTACATACCGTAAGAAATACCTCCATGGAATTCCATCGATTTCCGTGGAAAAAATTTCCATGGCATTCCATGGGGGATAAGGGCATCAATCTCAATGGAATTCAATGGAAAAGTTCCACGAAATTCCATGGAAACTACTGCATCCAATTCCATTGATCTCCATGGAGTTCCATGAAATTCGCCGGAATTAGACCATGGAATTAGAATATCGCATTGAGTTACAGATGTAAATGGAATATATGTATTTACAATTTTCCACAGATTTAGGTGTCACTGCAAATTACTGGATAAGTTCACTTTTATTACATAGAAAACCGCTCAATCTCTTTTGAAAAGTTATAAATACAAATTACTTAAGCTCAATGAAATCAAAACTCACTCAGATCAACAAGTTGCTCAAACGTACATCGATAAATTTTTAGTGACTGACAGTTAGTCAGATTACGGACCTGACTCTTAATTGTTACAAGGTGAGTAGTATAGGGCGCACCGGTTACTCCGGTTTTTTGGGGAGGATTCTCATTAAGGTGGGGAGGAATACATTAACGGCGCTGACGTCATAGGCTATTGTCTTGATCTCATGAATAAAATACGCAGGAATCTCATTAACTTGCGGTGGAATCTCATTAACATAAGGTCGTGTGCTATTTTAAGTTGCTTTAGGTTTTCTAGTTACTTTAAGGTCGATAGACGTCTTCGTTTTCTATTGGTTAGTTAGAAAATAAGAAAAGTTTTCATTGGTTAATTCATAGTGCCTGAGGAGTAAAGTCAAACTTGTCTCTGACTTAAAATCACTGAGACGTAACGTAATTATGCAAGTCCTATTTCCTGCTACTGCGATTGTCCTGGTTCCGGTTCACTGACTTTTGGCGGGCAAATCGTGCATATTAATGAGGGCAAAGACAAACTAGCTCTTGTCCTATTTGCTGCTGCTGTGATTGTCCTAGTTCCCGTTCACTGATTTTTGGCGGGCAAATCGTGCATATTAATGAGGGAAAAGGCAAAATAGCTCTTTTTT